AGGATATAGTGCACTGAGGTGCTAGTTCCATAGATAGCAGCAATGCAACTTATTGGATGCCGGCTGCCGTAAAACCCCAAAGAAGAAGAAGAAGAAGAACAACAGGTGACAGGTGTTGCTGGAGGGAAGGTGCACACAGTTTTTTTACCGTTATGCTATGCCACGCTGTGCAAGAGGAAATCTGTACTGGTGAAGGACTTGGAACTGTGGATTTATTGACTGTTTGTTGGACTCCTGCTTACCAGAAATGAAGACCAGTCACGGTAAAATAAATCTACAATGTAAGCATATTAACTTGTGTGTGGACATTGCAGTGAATAACAACCCAAGCGTGCGCCTCCATTAACAAGCACCGTCCAGCAGCCCTCAGTTGCTTTAAGTAATAGACTTGGCTGCTTACAGTATTTTAAAATAGAAAACAGTTATTTTAAATTGTAATCCTAATTTGCAATATTACTGTACTTTTTGATATATTTTTTAGATACATTTTAATCAACATCATTCTTTCCTGGTCATCCTATACTTCAAAAACAAGTGTATTTAAAGCCTGAATGTTCCATTCTAAAGCTTTACTTCACCTTCTTACAGTAGTCACAGACAATAGAGCTAAGGCAATCCTAAAAATACACAATTAAAGACTTCTTTCTGATTAAAACATAATTTCAAGCTGAGCACATAGAAACTTGAAAGACGTGGAGGAACAAAGGGAGAAGAAACCGATAAAGGTTACAAATGGGGATGGGAAGAAGAAAAAAAAGAGGCAAAAGATAAGGGACTGCTAAGGAGAGAAAGAGAGGGGTAGGTAAGAGGGATACATGGATAGAAGGAGAAATGCAATGTCCTTCATTGCAATGCAGAGCTGATAAGGCCTTAATTACAGTATTCCATTCCATGCTCACAGAGAGGCAATTAAATGGGACAGACCATGACAAGAAATGGGACAGAGCATGACAAGAAAGAAAGAAAGAAAGAAAGAAAGAAAGAAAGAAAGAAAGAAAGAAAGAAAGAAAGAAAGAAAGAAAGAAAGAAAGAAAGAAAGAAAGAAAGAGGGGCATGAAGTTCATCCCAGCACGGAGGCACATTTCCATGCATGCTGCAATTTCCTGCCCAGTGCCTTTCCATGTAGCGCCCACCACTGAGCCCAATGCACAGCACACACACCATCATTAGGAAGCCATTGGCTGTCACTTCCCATTCTTTATCTGCATGACTTCAAACTTGCACTGCCTACTTTACCGCATTTAGGCTTATTAATACAGACAGTATTTACTAACAGTGTCTTGGCTTCTTTTTATAAGTTTGATGAAAATAGATCTGTTTTATATCAGGCTTCCTAAATCAGCTTTAATAAATGAATGGTCAGGTGAGGTATTTGCTATTTATTCTTACACACTAAATTATACACACTGTTTGGGTCAAATAGGGACAAACCCAACCATAGGTTTTGTCCATATTTGACCCAATCATGGGTTGAAACAACCCAGGAGTTTTTAGAGTCAGTACAGATAAATAGAGTTTTAGAATGTTAGATACATAGATTCATTTTGCTGTAAATCTATGTAAATATTGAATAACATTCTAAATTTCTATTGAAGCTTACAATAGACATACCGGTGTGCACTGGTATGTCCAAATTTGCATACTTTTGCACTACTCTTTTTGTAGTAAAAATAGTGGGAGTATTGTGTTCACAATGAAAATTCCAAAAAGAAAAAGTGCACTTCAAATAACTGGATGAAATTAATTAAATTGAAAAGTATGGAATGTTAAACACTTCGTGCACTCAACTGTCGCAGCTTTCCTTACATAGCGGAGGGAGAGGTGCTATCAGACGACAAAATAACCCTTATAATTTAGGGGCCGTTTACACGACTAAAACCAGAAAATGTTTTGTGCGTTTTGACCGTTCATTTAGATGACAACAGCGTTTTGGGGGGCTGAAAACAGGGTTCAAAGTGCAAGTTACTTAAAAAAAACGATAACATTCAAAAACATTATCATCTCTGTGTAAAATACAAAAACGCGAACTTGTGAATACGGTGATGTCATGCACATGCTGCGTATTACATGTTCAGTTACAAAGTGACATCGCCAACTCCTGGCCTGGCAGCATAATACAGCATTTTTAGTAAATTTCACGGATCCGTGTGAACAGGGATCGTTTTGACAACGTTGTCGCCTGTTTGCGAAAAGCTCAAATAAAAACCTTTTCCGTTTTTAGTAGGCTACATCATTGTCGTGTACACCTTCCTGTAACTTTCTAGTAATCCTGCAGACCTTGATTAGCTTGTTCAGGTGTGTTTGATTAGGGTTAGAGCTAAACTCTGCAAGAAACTGAGGCAAAAACTTCTAACAATCAACTGGACAAAACAATGAGTCGCTATAAAAAAAAATCCATGTAAAACTAATCTAAACACGCAGGACATCCATAGGCTTGCAAAGAGTAAAAGAGAGCTTCCATAGATTAGCAAATAGCAAAACTTGTTTCATAATATTCTGGATGGCAACAGTTGCTAAGGTATGATTTGGTTGATATGGTTTTTATCCCAGCAATTAAGAGAAATGTACTGTGACCGAGAGAGCTCAACACGCTGCAAACGAAGAAAACGTATGCACATAGAAAAAACACCAGCACATTCATAAAACATCTTCGTCAGTGTGTAAATAATAAATAAAGTGTAAAATAATCTTCATTATTTGAACATCCTGATAATATGTATGTTTTGAGTATTTGCAGCGCATGTGTTGTCAAACTAATGAAGATGTTTTCTTAATTTGCTGGTGTCTTTTTTTTCTATTTGCATGCATTTTCTTCAGTTGCAGCATATTGAGCTTTGTGCTATTTGCAGCGGGTTTCTGTTTTTAGTTGCATTGTGAGTAGCGGCGGGTTTCTGTATTTGGTTGCTATGTGAGTATTTGCAGCACATGTGTTGTCAAACTGATGAAGATGTTGTCTTAATTTGCTGGTGTTTTTTTCTATTTGCATGTGTTTTCTTTAGTTGCAGTGTTGAGCTCTCAAAGCCACTGTAGAAATGTGATGAATAACTATTGATTTCCACAAAAAAAGACAGCAAACTAATGAAGAATCTCAGTTAAACAAATACATACAAGGCCTAAAGTGAATTGTGTCCTTAGTATTAGTCCATACTGTTGTCATTTCACTGCGCTAGTTTTAGAATCAAGACCTAGCTCAATGTGTTTACATATACTGTATAGCCTATGCATCCATGGAAACACAATTTGCTTCACTGGCAGAGAGCAAGCTTTCAGATATCTCTCTGGGCAACCACCAGCCTGATTGCATATCTCAAGACCGACCAATTTGCATATTCATAAAGCTCGAGCACCAATTGGGGGGCTTTTAAAACATGCTGATTTGGCCCAGTTCCAGGCATCTGCTAATCACAATTTGCAATGCCACGAGAATTGTGATTTCTTGTGACAAAATGTATGTAGTATAAGCCGCAGGAACTTGATTGCATTTTAACAATGTTGTTTTCAAACAACTTAGCTCATTTTTCTCCACTATTAATTAGTGCATGTGCTGGACCCAAGTGGATAACAGATAAATACAAATCATTTTTAATATACAGGTTGTCTACAGATATAAACAAGTTACATTTAAGACTTTTTAAGACCTTTTTAATGCCACTTTGAATGAAATTTAAGACCAAACCTGTGATGGAAATACACATTATAGGCTATGTAGTATTTAATGTTGAACCTAAGTAATTGAAGTAATTTAATATTAACTACCGGTACTTGTTTATTGAACTAAAATCAATGTTACATTTGCAATCGTGAGAATATTCATCAAAATAGCTCCCGTCATGTTATGTTACTTAACTGTATCATATTTTATAAATAAAAAAACTCAACATTTTGACTTTTTACCTCAGTGTTTCTTCTGTGAGTTTATGTGCTGTTATGCTCATTTGTTTTGATTTCTCACTATAAAATCTCTCACAGAGACAGACGAGTCTCAACAGCGCTACCAGAAATACATTATCATTATCAATCGCTGTTTATGTAATAAAATCAGAATCATTCTCGCGATTCGATGCTCCGCCGGTTATTTGACGGACATTGGGTTCGTCAGACTGGAGAAATATTAGCGGTAATGTGACCAGAAATATTTAAGACCCATCGAATCTGAATTTAAGACATTTTAATACTTTTTAAGGCCTTTTAAATAGGAAAACTTTATTTAAGACATTTTAAGACTTTTTAAGGACCCGCGGCCACCCTGATATAGCCAACATGGCCTTTTCACTCAAAAGCTGAAAAAATAAAGATCACAGTAACAATGAAGAAAAAATTAACACTAATAAACATGCAATTTTTTTGCGCTTTTACTTGCGCAATTTTTTGCGCTTTTACTGCTTTAAGGTTCTTCATGGAACCATAGATGCAAAAAAAAATGCTGTATGTAAAAAAAATGCTGTTTCGGGTTTTTTTTACATATTGCATTTTTTTTTGGATCTATGGTTCCATGAAGAACCTTAAAGGTGCAGTAGGACATCTGGGAAAATGCTAACTTTAGCCTTATAGCAGTAAAAGCGTACGTACAACCCGTACGTGAACGCGCTGTTGACCGACAGAGAACACTTGCTATAGGACCGTTCAGACCGAATGATACGATTGGACGAACATTCTATGGTCCTACGCCTTCCACAGACGACATATATTTATAAAAATACATTTAGACCGCTAAACAGAGTGATTGCTATCAGGATATGAGGAGACTTTCAACCAGCTTAACAAAAAATGTTTCTGCAGAGAATCACCTACGGCACCTTTAAACATCCATGGAACCTTTCCATTCCACAAAAGGTTATTTATAGTGGAACAAGGTTATTCAGATTATTAAAAAGTTCTTCACACAAAAAAAAAAGTTATTTGTGGAACCCAAATTGGTTCTTTAAAGGCATCACTATAGGGAGGAAAAAAAAAAACTTTTGGAGCCTTTATTTTTAAGAGTGTAATCAGAAAGTACTTACAGTATGTCTTCCTGGTCAGGTCCTCCACCACCTCTGGTTTGAGCTTGCTGTTTGATTTCCCCATGCTCTCCAGACCTCCTCCAGATAGTTTGTGTGGTCCAGGGTGGAGCTGAGGTATACCTGAACTCCTTACCACTTAAGGTAGAATCTTAGAGACCCAAATACATCAACAAAGTGAAAAACAGATCAGCACTGCCAACAAATCCAAGGAAATCCATCCATTGTGAATTTTCCTCTCCTTTTTTGACTTTGTGGGCTGTTGTAGATCTAAAGTCACTGTTAGGATCCCTCTTACCCAGCAGGTCTCTCAAAAAGCCATCCTCAATTACAGCCGCCTCTGACAAGTATCAATCCTCAAAAAAAAAGCCCATTCATTTGGCTGCCGTCATGAGTATGAGTCTCAGATGCCTAACCGCATTCGGTCTGATTCTTCAGTGGAGAAAGCAAGGCTTTGAAATGTATCAAAGTGCCAATGGTTACAGGAGACCCTCGCTCGCTGCGTTCTGCCTGCTCTCTCACTCACACTTGAGCGCCAGTTCTCTCTGGCTCTCCACTCACCCTCCCTCTTCTCTTTTTCTTTTTACTCCCTCCCTACGCCTGTCTTGTTAGCTCTGAGAGACTCTTAAAGGAGATCCCTTGCTCTAGTTGTCTTGGCAGCTGATATGAGGGGTTTAGTAAAATTAAAAGAGAAGCACAAACTTATTTCTGCTTGATTTTTAGCATTTCACGCTTGGATGTCGTTCTGGTAGAAGCCGACAGGCAATAAGTAGTACAATAATACTAAACCCTGGCTGTGATTATTGAGTGCAAATATTGTAAAGATGGCAAAAAGACTAGATCGAAATCAAATGGTGAACAGGGCTGCTCAGATCCTCCGTCAATGACCGCATCAGACAATACGTGGAAGCCGGAGATAACCAATTTTTCAGTGTCTCAGTCAGCTGATGGCACTCTATCTGACAAAAGACATTCACCTTCTCCTAGTAACCGCTGTTTGCTTATCTCCAGGCCTGTTCTTCCTCACACCTTCTGTAGTTCAAAGCAGCAACTTTTGTTCGCCAAGGTCTGGTTGTCCCGAGAAACCTCCAAACACTGCAGGAACAAACAGCAACAAGGTCAGACTGCATTGGAGTACAACAGTGTCATGAGACCAGCAATCTTGATAGACCCACTGAGAGATGAGGGGGAAATCGCTGACCACACACTCTACATGCAAATAACTCTCACACTTGACTTTCATGAGAATGTAAAAGAGTCAGTATTGTCATTAACTGCATTACACAGTGCAATTGTGTTTATGTATGTGTGTGTTATGGGGGAATAAAGTTTTAAAAGATACTGAATTCGAGTGTATTGTCAAAATATTTAAAATTGGGAAATATTGGAAAATGTTATAAAGTAGCTAAGCCTACTAATTTAGACATGCCACTAGAAAATTTTGATTTGCTCTGCATGTCCTAACTATGATTAAAAAAGTCAGGGTGGGCTTAACATGTTGATGACAGAGCAGCACTGTTGAAGCATTTTAGAAAAATAGGCAGAAGATGATGCATGTGGTAGGGATTTTTTTAATGATAGTAAAAGCATAGTCCATATTAAGACTGCTCCTCTAAACAATTCCCAATCTAGCTTAGGTTGTAGGGCTAACTGTTGATTATTAACTGGGGTGATATTAAATCATGAATATCAAAACTGACATGTCGAGACAAAATCTCGACTCTGACTCGACCCTTCAAAGACTCGGTCTTGACTCGGACTCGACTGTATTTGAAAAACAACGGACTCGGTCTCGACTCGGACTCGACCCTTCAAAGACTCGGTCTTGACTCGGACTCGACTGTATTTGAAAAACAACGGACTCGGTCTCGACTCTGACTCGACCCTTCAAAGACTCGGTCTTGACTCGGACTCGACTGTATTTGAAAAACAACGGACTCGACTCGGACTCGACCCTTCAAAGACTCGGTCTCGACTCGGACTCGACCCTTCAAAGACTCGGTCTTGACTCGGACTCGGCATAGGCGGTCTCGTCCCCATCACTACAACCATAATGGTAAAAATCCATCCAGTGTTTTTGTTTTAATCTCCTTATATGTTTTCCCCTGCCTCAAATCGAGCCGTTCGACCGTGTGACGTCACACGGTCGGACGCCCCTCCCGCGATTGTTGATTGACAGGCGCGTTTCAACACAGACGCGCCCTCGCTCGTGACCCAGCTGTCAATCATAGTCTGCGCGGACCGGCGCGGTCATTGTTGATATGCTGGAGCACTGTCTATGAGCAGAATGGCGTCTAAGCGATTGTGGTGTTCTGTTCTTGGGTGCAATAAGGAACCCAGCAGTTATTTTGATGTTCCTAAATCCGAACCGCTGAAGACGCAGTGGCTGAGTTTTGTTTTAGGGAATATTCCCCACGAGCAACGTCAATGCTTTCATGTTTGCGCGAATCATTTCTCAGCAGACTGCTTTATAAACGAGGGTCAGTATAAAGCTGGTTTTGCTAAGCAGCTGCTCCTGAATAAAGGATCGGTACCAGCTATTCGTGTTCCTGCTGAACCTATAGAACAACTGAAGTGAGTGTAACGTTTTAGGTTTTATTAACCTTTATATTAATATTTATATCTTTGCAAATCGCTTCACGATGAATGAGTCTAAGGTTTACACTCAGGGTACATTACTGCATGTTTTCTATGTACGACGTTCTCCATTTAATTCATAATCCCACGTTTATAATGAACAATGCGTTATGGTTATTGTGTTACACACTGTGTACGCACAGAACAGAGAGCCGGAGTCAGCGAAGCTCATTATCATTTAAAGTCATATGCACTGAAACGGCGTGCTGAAAACAGAGCTGTTTTTGACCAGGTAAAATAAGTGTTTTCTTACAATACTAATGAGAATTTTTAATTAAAGTATATTACAAACTTTTAATTTAGACCCTAAAGAATCATATTAGCTTGTACAAAAATGGCATTATATGGCCCCTTTAAGAGTTGTAGAGTTCAGTTACTTATTTAGCTACAGTGTGTTTAAAATGTTGCTTTTTCTGGGAGCTAAGAGGTGATAAATAAACAATCATGAATCAGATATTAATGCAAACAAAAAACAACAACATTGGTATGAATAACTCTAGGCTAAACAAAAGAGAAAAATCTTCCTCTGATCTTGTTATCAGTAACTGGGGGTGGTGTGGGGGGGATACTTTGAAATGTTTTGAATCAAGGCACAGAACACAAAAAATAGTTCACATAAAATCATTTCACACATGCCAACCAAAACAAGTGGTAAGACCAAATATTTGATTTATAGTTTCAATGCAACACTGCACCAAAGCTAATAACCTCCTTACATCTGCTACAATCACTTTTCAACTCTTTACAGTGTGTGATAACTGCCGGCACAATCCATGAAATGCTGGAACAATCTTGTAGCCAGGTGAAGAGGTGTATCTTCACCTTATTAACCGAGAAAGAGAAATAATAAATAGCTATATTTCTTTATGAAAGCATGTAAATATTGTGCATCTTTAATTTTCTGTGACATCGGGGAGAAATAATAAAACTAAAGAAACAACATAGCTGAAATGACTTGCTGTCTTTTTTAGTTTTATTTGTTTGTAGGTCAAGCAATGTGGGTTTTCAATGGCCTTAGTGATACCAATAGGTCTATCTAGAAAACGCAATGGCTTACGCCGATATAGCATGTACAATAACATTTAATGATAATAAATGGGGTTTACACAAATATGTATGCAATACAAAAATGGAAAAATCGTTGCAAAAGGTTTAGCAAGTCTATAACTTAGTCGTTCCCTTTCAAAAGTGCTGCGCTGAAGCGCTTTGGGAATGATCCTTGTATGACCACCAGCTGTGATGTGTGTGACACGCTCGAGCAACGTGCAAGGTGAGAGGTGTGTGTCTCAATTCAATTCAATTAAAATGAGCTTTATTGGCATGAATGTGTAAAATAGCACAATATTGCCAAAGCAATAGACTACATACAAACATATATGTAGATAAAAGTGAATAAAAAAAAATAAAAAATTACAATTATTTATCCATCTGAGGTTCCACTGGTTGTCCTCATTTCATGGCATGAGGAGATATATTTTGCAGCAATTATTTCACATTTGGGCATTTCTCCCAGTAAATATGGGAGTTTCTGTGTGTCTGATATGGATTCGAATTCAGGGTATATTTGGGAAATGTTTGCAAAGTGTTTTTGTCTTAGTGTATTATATTTGGGGCATGAGGTTAGAAAGTGCAGCTCTGTCTCTACCTGTCCCCTGTCACACTGGGAGCAGAGTCTCTAATCTTGTGGTAGCCAGCACTGTCTGTGGCGACCCTTTTCTATGGCCAGGCTGTGTTCACTCAGTCTGTATGTTGTCAACATTTTTATTAGTTTAGGACATTTTATTGTACTCAGGTAATTTGCCAGTGCGAATTCTCTTTTTAGGGTCAGATAACATTGTAATTTACTTTGTGTTTTGGTCGTTTCTTTCCAGTATTCAATATATTTTTCTTTCTGCTTGTTGATAATTTGGTTTGGTCTGCTTGGCGTTGCTGTCCTGGGGCTGTTGGGGACTTGTTACTGCAGAGAGCCTCAGGACCAGCTGTCTGAGGGGACTCTTTTCTGGTTTCAGCTCCTGGTATGTTAGGGCTTTGTGATGATATGTCTGGGGGACGGGGGTTAACTGATTTTGAGTGATTGTAAAATGTAATTGATCTTTTCTGTATTTTTAGTAAGATGGGGTGCAAGCTCTGCTCTGCACAGGTTATTTGGTGTTTTTTCTCTGCACCTGTAGGATGCTCTTACATAACTCGGTATGGAAAGATTCTATGATTGTTTTATCCCATTTGTCAAATTCATTATGAAGTTTTGGCCCCCTAATTTCACTACTATCTCACTGTCTCCGTGTTCATGGCTCATGCCTGAATATGACACACACCAGTTTTTTAACATAAAAAAACAATCATGGTGACGTTACAATTTTACTTCAATGTTATAACGTTACTATATATCTGCAATAATAAATGGCATCTAAATAAATAAACGACAAAACTGTATTGTACTGTGTGAAGGGCATACTAAATTGTGATTTTATATAGTTCGGCTATTTTAGTAGCCTAAATAAGGTAGGCTAGCCTATTTTTGCGGAATATTAAATTTAGTTTGAAGGGGCGCTCTCACGCTAAAGTCTGGGATTTGTCTGAACAACAACCCGAGGTTTATTGATGAAACGATGTATGTTTACACTTTTACAGTCACTAAAACGATCAGTTAAGTTAATAGTTCCAGCGACCGCTATCACAGCAAACTGCTACGTTACATTGAACAAACGTTATCTTTAAAACATAACTGGACTGAATAGACCGCTAACTTACCTCTTATTTTCTTTCACTGAAAGCTTAAACTTTTTAGCTGTGAAACTTGATAGATGACTTATCCATACGAACTCTACCAGCACGGTGAATAAGGGCATTGCCATCCAAGCTACGTGTCGTCCTTCTCCAGTGTCTATCTGTTGAAACGCAATGTTTTTTGAATGAAAGTCAACGTCATATGACACTTACCGAGCCGTTTCTTCTTCATAGATCGTCAAGGGTGTGTTTGGCTTTCCTCCTGCTCTCTCTCTCTCTCTCTCTGAGTATTTGTAACCTTTAGTCAGACGGGACTTTTCTCGCAGACTCTCCAGAGGCTGGACAAACTAAACTCACCGCTCTCCATTAACCCCTGTGCTTCTGTTGGTGTGGAGAACCTTCACTCCATTGGGGACTTTTAAATGTCATAATAAAAATAATAATAAAATACAGTGTGTGTATGTGTGTGTGTGTATATATATATATATTATTATTATATTTTTTAGCCCTGTGGCCCAGCAATAGCTGCTCACCTCTTGCCGAGAACCATCTGTCTGTCTGTAACCTGGATAAAAAAAAAAGAAGAAAAGAGAGAGACCTAAACATAGCCACACCAGGAAATCAGGTTAAGCTGCTATTTAATACAGAACAAAAATGTCTCATCCTGTGCCTCACTTAATAGGCCTCTAAATATTCAGACAATGAGAGAGGACTGTCACCTTGTGTTTATCATACAGTCTTGCATAAGCAAGTGTTGTGAATTAATGTGTCAAAATAAGCATAAATTACACCACTATTCTGTTTTATAGTGTATAAATGTAAAGCAAATGAATGTGTAATTAAATCTATGAGAAGATTGACTTTAAGTACCTTTTATTATACAAAGTATTCATTTTTTCTTTTGAAACTTTTTTCCCCCAATATGACTAAAACTAATAGTCTTCTTCACAAAAGGTATAGAGCAGTGGCGGTTCTAGCCCATTTCAACTGGGGGGGCCAAGCTGGGGCCAGTTGTACTGTTAGAGGGGCCAGTTACATTTAGACCTTATTGTTGTCATATCATTTTCTGCACTCCTGCAGGCATTAACAGGCAAAATACCGTGTTTATAATCATTCAACAATGTATTTGCATTTCCATTATATTTTTACATTTGCATTACATATTCAGTATTAGTCACAGTAACTGTAATAGACATGATGTCCTTCTTTCTCTTCATTTTGAGAACTATAGAGCAAAAGCAATGGGGACCAAGAAGCTTATTAATTCATTTACTGAAAATAACTGACTTGATATGTCTAACCGTTTACAGGGTTCCTGCACACTTTTTAAAGTCAAATTTAAGGCTTTTTAAGACCTAAAGAAATCAAAATTAATACCGTACATTAGGGCTGTGCAATATTGACAAAAATATATTTCAATATTTTCAACATTTTGTTAATAATTAGATAATATTTTACTGATTGTGTTTTTGTGCTGGTGCCATGGCTGGTTTAGGCCTGTTGTTGACAGCTGACTCACGAAGATATTAATATTTTTCATATTCTATGCAGTGGTCAGGGTTAGGGTTAGGGTTAGGGTTATTTCTGTCACAGCAGTGACAGAAATAAAAAATTTTAATTAAGGGGCAATATTTGCCACCTTAAATTGATTTCCAGGGGCATTTTCACCTATATATGGACATTTTTTCTAAACTTATTTAGAGTTATGCATCACCTTTTATGTCAAATACTAACGTTCAAATTATACAGTAATTATACTTATTTATACAATAATACTTAATTATGCAATAATTATACAGTACCACTGTTACCAGTCAAATTAATTAATTCAATCAAAATCCATCTTTGCAGTGCAGAGGTGACACAGAAGTGGCATTAATATATTTACACTCCATTTACAATTGCATAAATAAAGCTATGAGATTTTTTTAAAATCAATATTTAAATATGAAATTATTTCTAATTTTAACGTTTTAATTAAAGGATACTTTAAATATGAAACTAAAACCGCCAGTAGGCCCAAATAGAGGTCTCTGCGGAACAACAAGAAGGTGTTTCCCAATTAATGGGCGTTTTCAAACCGGTCTAGGCATTTTCCAACCATCCAATCATAACCGTACGGATTCGGAAGCCCTTTCAGAAGCGGAAATGCGTTATTATTATTTCTCGTTTTATTTTCTTGATTTTTACTATTATGTCTATATCGCGACAACATTTGATTTATGTCAAAATAAAATACAGGCTACAACTACCTATTTTCTTTAAAAAGTAATTATTTCATAAGATCTGTTATACAAGATCTGTATCTTATAACATAACGGGAAATTTGGTTTATGAAAGAAATCCTTTTTAAAGAAAATAGGTAGCTGGATTTTATTTTGACATAAATGTTGTCGCGATGTATATGTAAATGTTGTTATAGCCTGTGAGTGTGTATTATATTTTATAATATTCTCTCCTACCTACATGCAATTTTTCTCTAAATGTAAACCTTAAAAGGTAAAAGTATTAAAAATTACTTTATTACTCAACTATTTATAATTACATTAGTTTTATTTTCGTTTTGTGTGTGTGTGTGAACAACACAACATAAATCAAGTTGTAACGGTGATTAACAAGGAAAAACAATAGCAATTTCCAATAAAGTTACCAAATCCTACTGTAAAGCAATGGTGAAAATTATTGTATTGGTCTTTCTCACCTGTATTTTTCAAAATATATTTATATGTAATGACTGATATTTAAGTGATATTTGTAGCTTACATTAAATGATATAAAGTAAAACGTATTGACCTTTAAATTAAGGTAAAATGTGTTTACTTAGAATAATGACTCTGAAAACTTTAAACATTAGCATCACTTTATTGACCGTATAGATACTGTAACCAATATGATGAAAAACTGTATTGATAAATGCAGCATTCTCTATTTAATGTAATAGTAAAAAAGAGAGCATCCAATCCAATAAAATAAAATAAGCAATAAATGTGGCAAGTTCAAACATGAGGAACACATTGCATGAAACATTAGATGCTTCCTCCAGCCACATAGAAACAGTCTCCGCAGTATCCTGGGGAGTCATCAGAGCCATAGAACCCCTGCAACACACCTCTTTGCCCTCTTCCTCTGTAGCCTTCGCCACAGTCTTTGTATGTAGTATCACAATGGAGACATCTGGATAGACTGTATGGAACCCTGTACAGGTTTCTGACATTTTCACTGAATGCCTTCCAGTTCACGACACCTAAAAAATAAAATAAAAAAGTTGTCAGCTGACCTCATTGTCTTAATATTCAACCATACATAACTGAGAAAAAACAGAGAGAGCTGTAATTAACCAATCAGTGACACTAATAAAACTTACTGTCCAACCACCGAAAGTGAGCCTCTCGGCGGAAACTTTCCATGCTCACAATGCTGTTAAAGCACCTGCAGGTGAGGGCAAGGGAGCCAATTGCAACATCACCATCTTGAAGCACAACCTCCAGTAAGATTTCACGAAGGACCAGCGGAGGAAGCTATACATGAACAAAACATAATCTGAACTTCTTGTGGTTATAATGATTCCCTTGCATTTTATAAATTGAGTAATAACAAATACATGCCTCCTGTATGTTCAGGGGTTGGTCAACAGTTGCCACTATGAAGGGACAAATGAAGAACATCAGTAAATGACAGTCAACATTTACTATAAATAATAGAGCACCTCAAACAAAATAAATCATACCAGTTTTGTGTGGCTTGTCAGTCCGCCTTCTCTTTCTTTGCTGGATTTCCATGACCGATCTTGATAAATTTATGACATAAAAACACATTAATAATACAGTATATCAAGTTTCATTGCATGAAGATATGACAACTAAAAGTCACACTAATTGTAAAGGCACTTTGCCATCCTTCTCATTATTTTTTGGAAAGGACTAATAACAATAAAAATGAAAGAAACACCTTGGTGGGAATTTCTCCAGCAAAAGGACAGACCACCATCTTCTTATACTTGGTATGTCTGACTATAGTTGGAAAAAGCACAAGTTTATCAAAACAATTCTTAAACTTACAGAATGTTTTTTAATGAGCTTGGAAAACCCACCTCTGAAAAGTCAAATGTTCCCCCCAAGATGACATTGAGAGCATACTGCAACATGAATTATGTATTAATAACTGCACATGGGACAGGCACCTGCAGAATCAATAGTAACCATTGATCCTACCATTAGAATGAAGACTCCACAGCTGCAAGACATCTCTTGTCGAGGTATATCCTAGATATAAGTAAATTACATATGATATCATTTTTAACTAGTACCACTAAATTCCTAATTCATTAAAATTTTCAATCACATTTGGTGTCAAATGAAACATACCCCAAGGTCCTCAGAATAGAATTCTGTCCATGTCCCAGGACACAGGCTCTGAGCAATTTCTCTGTCAAAATAAATGAATGCCACCCCAGCCAAAAACAACAACAAACACATTAAGATATACAATAAAAACAGCCAATCAAACAGGGTTTTTAAAAGATAACTACCCTGCAATACTACATATGATTACTAAGTAAATCTGAAATGGAACAGAAAATAATAAAGGCAGAGTTTAACAGGAACTGTCCCGCCTTTATTTTTCCCATGGATTTCTTCTTAATGCAGGGATGAACAAAATTAATTAATATATGACCCTAAAATTAAAGTGTGTTGCAAGTAAAGTGTTTCTTAAATTGTATGCAATGAGAAAAAAGCCTATGGGAAAAAAAAGAGAAAAAAAGAACTGAACATAGAACAAGAGAACAAAATTCTGTAACAGGAAAACCTGTATATGGCAGTGTAAGTGCCATCTCCAAAACCTGGAGTTTTCAGGGAATTGAGAAAATACAATTCACGCAATTTTGGCTTCATGATCTGAAAAAATGTTTTCACCCTGTGTTAGTTGTTAGGAAACGCATATCAAGGAAATAATCAGAAATATGCCGCTGATTTCAGTTTGCACAACAATTGGTATTGTATGTTTATGTATCGCAACATTAAAGCAGACTCACACACAGCATCCAATGCTCTGGCAACCAAGATGGGAAGACCACAGCATCCTTGCTCATAATTTCAGGCTACATGTATATAAAAAAATATATATAGTATATAGTATGTTTAATGTTTAAAGACATTACAAATGTCAGTGATCCTTACAGGTAAGTGGTCCATGGGATGTGCACAAATTGGTGGCAACCATGTCACTATGGCATGGCTATCAACTGGATAGATGTCCACATTCTGCCCGCAAAAAGAAAATTGTTATGAATTGAATAAAATGAATTTATGCATGCTCTCAAACTTTGAGGTTAAACCTGGGAGAGTGCAATCTGTTGCAGCACACAGAAGCAGGAATTCAGCACCTGTGTGAAAAATATCAACATTTAGCTACTTTGAAATGGACATAAGTTTTGATTCATGTTTTTGTCCGTTCCTTACATTTCCTTCCACCTCGCAAGGGTTTGTCAGTGTTATTAAGTCTTTCTGTTTTATGACAATAGAGCCCACAAGTGCTACTTCATCATCAGCATTTGCAGAACGAACTTGAGCCATCTGTCAAGAGAACAGAAATATTCTATTACTTACAAAACAGATTCTTAGTAGTCTTAGTCTTCTAAAAGACCGTTGCACACAGTGAATATTGTTGGCTCTATGATGAATCAGTTGTAAGTTGCTTAGGATATGACTGTCCGGATGCATAAATGAAAATGCAAAATCTAAAATTTAATCATAATAGAGGACTGCAGTTGTGCAATTAATAACTGTTTAGCTATATTACCAGTTTACGCTGTGATCGAGTCAGTGGCTTTCCCCAGCAAGCCTTGCTAGGTTTTATCAGATGTAGTCTGGTCATTTCAGGAGCCCTGTTCTCTTTATTTAAAGACACATAAAAGACATAATGATTTGTAAATAGCAAATAAGAGATAAGGTTCAAAGTATACATGTAATAAACTTACCTACAACCAAACGTCCAAACAAATCAGTTTGGAGGTTTATAGTCGTTTTTGGATGCCCAAGGTCCTTTTGTATTTTTGACAGCATGGATCCATTTTTTTCTTTGTTTTGGATGTGCAAAATGTTTCTTACAAGAAACATGTGGGTGGTGGGAGACATCATATTCAAGAAATAGTTGTTCTTACGCATTCCAGCGAAAAGTTGTTCTGCAGCTTGTGTGTTCACTCTGCCAGCCAACTCTGGGACAATCTGAATCTTTCTAAGTGTGTCTCGCTTATCCTTACTGTTGGCCTCGTGGAACTTGTCCGATAGAGCATAGTGCTCGGAAGAACCAGTCACTGGATGGCAATTATCATCCTCATCCATCTTCTTCTCTTTTATCCAGGGTAGACTTATAGTTAGGGTTCCGCTCTCTGCAGCTGTTATATTGTTTTCTGTAGATTCCGCAAGTCGTCCCTCAAAGGGTGTAAATGGCATTGCCTCTGGCCTCCTTAAGTTGGAATGGGTGGCCAGTCCTCTGGCAAAATCATAAATACAAATGTTTGGGATATGTTTCCATGAAAATAACATGTCCGTAAAGTCTCTAGGACTTTCGGCACGGATGAGAAATTTTACACTGTAAACTATACCACAGGGGCATAAAATGGCTGCCCATCCACCTGACAAAGAGGAGTATAGTTTGTTTAGTGAATGAAATTCATTAACTTTCAGAACATGATGTACATTTGAACTCACAGAGCCCACCATATACCTGATGCTCCCCAAACTTTTTGAAAAATCTTGTCGTATGCAGTTCTGTTTTGCATTTCTTCTCTCAGTCTGGATAGAAGATCAGTCTTTGATCCTTCAGTGCCAACTCCACAGGCCTTGCAGAGTTTTCGAATGTCTGCAACCTGGTAAATATGTTTGATATTACATTACAATATGAAACTAGCTCTTTGTGTGTTAGTTCTAACTACGACTAGAAGGTAACAACTGATTTAGACCTGCATAATGATTGTTTCATTATTGGTCAACCATCACCATTTTTAATAAACTGCAAATTATAAGAGGCTATAGAGATTTATACTGAGCTGGTGCATACCTTTAGCTTCATTAATTCATCACTGAGTCTCTCTTCTGTCATGTCTATTTCAGCGATGTTTTCAAGTGTATTTGTGGTCTGCACTTTCTTCCATTCTGTGTTTATCACAGATGGTGACCTGCGTGTGTGTCTGCCGACCCATGGGGCCCAGTTCTCATAATTGGGTTTCAAATTGTAAGGATTTGTGTCTCCAACTAAAATATACAGAAAATAAAGTAGTGAAACAAACTCTTGAAACAAGGCATTTTGTTTAGATGTGGAAATACATGTGTAATGCAGTGGCTCTCAACCACATTCCAGGAGGCCCCCCAACACTGCATGTTTTCCATGTATCCTTAACCAAACACACCCAATTCAGATCATCAGCTCATTAGTAGAGACTCCAAGATCATAAATTTGTGTGTCAGACAATGGAGAGATGCAAAATGAACAGTGTTGGTGGGCCTCCAGGAACGTGGTTGGGAACCACTGATGCAATGAACTCAACAAGTATATGTACAAGAGACAAGGAAGTGGTTTACATTATTGCACATGATAGCCTAATTGTCTTGTTGCAACTTACTCCTCAACAAGCCAGTTGCAATCCTCTCTCTTGAAAGAGTCTCCCAGAACTCCTCGGAATTCACCTCTCCATTGAAGGTTTCAGTTGGCTCACTTATGTCACTGACTGGATAAAGAAACAAAATTAAATTAACACAAATTAACTGCAAATAGAAAATGACAAAAAAAAAAACTGTGATTGCTTACCTGCCATGTTGAACACTCCCTTTTTATGTAAGTCCATTACAACAACTGGAGGATGATGTCCACATTTTAGACACGAAAAGCCATAATCATGGTGAGTTAGTGCCTCAAAATGTAAATATGCATGAAGAAACTCTGTCTCCTTTGGGTAAGGCACGTGTGTTGTCTTTTGCAATATGGAACGCACCCTTCCAACTGCCACATGATCCTGAGTGAGAACAGTCATGAGAACATATATCAGTGCTAGATTAAGTTGAACAATCTTGAGCCTAATGTATTTTAAATTTCATAATTAAAACCTGAACGGAATTCCTTATGAAGATGCATAGAAAGATGCTTAGCAGCACTTTATCATTAAAGTTGTGAAGCCCATGCATCCAGTCCTGGTATCGGTAAAACATACCACAATTACTGCATTTCTTACAGTATGTGGATATTCCTAATAAGGTAAATAAACAGATAATAATAGTACTAAATGTCAAACAATCACTTGGCAATTATTGTGAATAGCATACTTTAATACTCCGCTAATACTGGAGTATAATGCAAAAAATGACATGTACTACTCACAAAAAGTTAGGGATATTCAACTTTTGCAAATTGACTTATTGTCTGGGGAGGCACAGCATCCCACTCTTCTTAAAGGGCTGCCCTCAGGTCATTGAGGTTCTGGGGTGCAGGGTCACGACCCTCTACATGGTACTGTGACAAGCCAATACTATCTGAATAACACCATTAATCCAGTCATTGTGCCTCTGCATGAGCAACACAGGCCTGATTTCATCTTTATGGATGACAATGCCTTAGCTCATTGAGATCGCATCATCAGGGAATAGTGGCAGGAGGCTAGGGTACCTCAAATGGAGTGGCTTGCACTTTCTCCAGACATGAATCCCATAGAAAACCTATGTGATAAGCAGAGTCGACATATAGAAAGTCATAACCATGCACGCCAGAACCTCAATGACCTGAGGGCAACCCTTTAAGAAGAGTGGGATGCTGTGCCTCCCTCGACAATAAGTTGATTTGCGAACAGCATGAGATGTCATTGTTAAGCTGTAATTGATGCTCAAGGAAAGTTACAAGTTATTGAAACATTGACATTTTTGTTGTGGTATACCCACCACTGTTGTTAGTTTTTGTTTTAATAAATTGCTGTAGAAGAATAAATGCATACTTCTACTTAAATGCCCTTCTTTTATGATATATTTTCACTGTAGCAAGAGCTTTTTACATTTTCCATAAATTTCACCCGAAAGTCAAATATGCCTAACTTTTAGTGAGTAGTATAAATCAACAGCTTATAAATATTAAATATTATCATTGAAAATTTACAAACCAGCAATGCCTACCAGTCACTACACCAGTGAGCGTCGCCACTTTAGCATTTTTGGTGATAAGGACAGGAGCACTGAGAGGAACAGGTCCAGGGCACTGAGAGCAGAACTCCTCTTCAGGAATAAGATGTTGAGGAATGTCTTCCTTCTTTACATCTTCTATAAAAACATCTGATAGTGTGTCTGGAAGCTTTTTGTTATGGTATATATATTGTACCATCTGCTTCAGGCCATCACTCTTTGGAGGATATTCCCATTGCTGGCCAGACAAGTCATCATGTTCTGCTGGTTCAGTCTCTACAGCTGCTTCTGGCATGGTTGTGAAGAGCTCCCGCTTCATTTGAAAGAGACACCATTTTGCTATGCACTTATGCAGACACGATCTCCTACCTCTGATACAAGGGCAGTGCCAAGTGTTTGTCTTGGAATTGTAATTAACCAAAACTCTGCCCAGTCTACTGTAATAAGAAACCCTTGGCTCATATACTGATATGTAATGCTTGTAGTCAGGGCCTCCAATAGTAACAAGGCTAGTAAATGTTGCACCTTTACTTTTAGCCTGACCTTGCAGCGTAAGGCATTGGTTTTTCCTTGTGTTACAAAACCATTTTTGCTCCACTATCTCAGTCAACACGTCCTCTGATAACTCTTCATGTGGTGCAATAGCACAGGAGTAGTCTACTGATCTCAGATGCACACATGATGTAACCAAAAGTTCACTCCTTTGAGTCATTTCAGCACAAGTGTTGCACATATCCATTTCACACATTACCTTGTGTGATGAGCCCCAAATTTTCTTCGCCACATGAATGGGAATACAGGGCCCACGAAATGATTTTGCTACAACATATATCCCATTCTTTTTATCAACACACTGTGTTGGTAAATTATAAGTTGAAGATACGAGATGTATAGGTTGATGTTTCCGCTCAATGTGTTTTTTCAAATTTTTAGAATTTAGACTCACTCCACATTGAGGACACCTCACAGTGATTTGCTTTCTTTTAATCACTGGAGGAGCTGCTGGATGTTGTGGTGTATCAGATCCTGCTGGGGCCAGCGAAGGAGTTTGTTGTGGTGTATCAGGTCCTGCTGGGGGCACCGAAGGAGTTTGTTGTGGTGTATCAGGTCCTGCTGGGGGCACCGAAGGAGTTAGTTGTGGTGTATCAGGTCCTGCTGGGGGCACCGAAGGAGTTTGTTGTGGTGTATCAGGTCCTGCTGGGGGCACTGAAGGAGTTTGTTGTGGTGTATCAGGTCCTGCTGGGGGCACCGAAGGAGTTTGTTGTGGTGTATCAGGTCCTGCTGGGGGCAGCGGGTGGAAACTGCAAAGATGCCTTTTTATAGCAGCTTTATTTATGTAGGTCTGTGGACAATGACAGCAGTGAAAATGCTTGGCCTTTTGGCCACAGCCAAGGTCACAGCTGTATATAACATAATCTAAAGCAAAATTGAAAATAGCCATGTTAGTAGACGTAAAAAAATGTTTAATACACATTTAAAAGATATGCATATCCACTCACCTCCATATTCAGTTGCTCTTATTTTATGCCCAGCTATATGGGCCACTATTTGATGATATTGTCTGGGTTTACATATTTGAGATGTGCAGAAGGGGCATGTGAATAAATTAGTATCTGCAAGGTAGCGCTGTGGTTGAGGCTCTTGTCCTCTCCGCTGAATTGTGATGTGCTGAATAGACAACAAATTCATCCATTTTAATTTAAAAAGTTTCCTCCACTGTACATAATTATGTTAGTCTATAGGTTTGACTACACATGTGAGGTATTAAAGCCTGCACTGATATAATGAAGAGTGTTGAACATTGACTAGTGAGCTGATCTCACAGCTAAAAAAGGTCAAATCATGTTTCTATTTAAATCTAGGTGTCTGCAGAGGTTTTTGTTAGGGTTATGAGATATAATATACATAACAGAAAAATTATAAATATTACATTAAAATTGATATTAAAAATAATAAACTTAACAAGCAATGCTTTTTCAGCTTTTCTTGTTTTCTTACAGCGCACCTCACACTCAAACACCATTTCATATATGAAGGGAGTGGGTTCTGGACTGAATGAAAACGTAATTTATCCAAAATATTATAGTTTTTAATCATTTTTAATTAGACAGAATTTGCAGTTAGATTAATGTGCACAATACTTCCCTTAAAATGTATTTATAGTTATTTATTTTTTTATTATTGTATTTATAGTACATATTAGTAGGCTACCTATATCCCCTGGTTTCACAAACAATTTTAAAGCCTATAGTCCTAGACCAAATTAGTCTGAGCTGTTCCAACTGAAATAAACTTGCACTGACTGATCTTAAAATATATCAGTGCCTTTGTTTTGTCTCAAGATGAACACCAGTAATGTTTTTTTTTCTAAGCATGTTTATGAAAATTTAATTATTTAAATGTCCTAATTGAACTATGGACTAATCCTGGTTTAGGCTAAAACCTGTCCCTGTCTGTGAAACCGCGGCCATAATTCGGTGGAATAGCCCACTAATATTTGTTTACAACTATTGTTTTCTAGTCTGACAAGCTAACGTTAACTATTTTTTATATTACAATACGCCGACAGTAAGCAAACTACCACTATCAACACTAAAGTAACAAACGCATGCACCAAAAAGTTAGCGAATGTTTGCTAATAGTGGTTAGCGATAGATTGTAAGTGGCAGACCTCTTGGAGCTTTTCTTAATCGTGTTGCAAGCAAGTTTACACAAACTAATTAACGTTAACTGACGTAAAATGAGAATTTACACAAATCCACTTACATCCATATGCAGGACAGGTGACCTCTCTCCTCATTTCACCGCTTTCTCGCTTTATCACTAATATCTGAATATCTGATGGGGAAAGCGTATTCAAGTATCGCCCACTCAAGTTTTAGCAAACCAGGCAGAGAGATTGTAAAACGCCTACCCGGTTGTAAAACGCCCCCAAATTGAGGCACGCCCCTTGTTGCTCTGCAGAGACCTCCTTCTCCCAGTAGGTGGCGGCAAGTCCCTGTAAGAGGGATTCATTCATTCAAACGATTTGTTCAAACGGCTGATTTATTCGGGAAAGAACAAGTGATTCGTTCAAAACGCGGATTTCAGTCAATAAATCATCGCTGTGTTGCATTGAGACTCTGCTACGGTTTCATTATGAAATTCTAGTCGGCGAAATAAAGGGAAAACAAACAATATTGTGTCTAAAAAGTAACTCCCAATGTTAACTTATTGTTAATTTAACTGTTGTATAACATAAATATCACAGTTGCAATTGTGCACGGGAAAACGGCACTCTTGCTGATGTGATATTCTAATATAAGAACATAATATGATATAAATATAAGACAAAAACTAATTTGGGGACATAGCCTATATGAACTGCACACAGCAGTGAAAGGACGATAGACAAATGCTATGTCAGCTCAAAGTGCCTCGTAGGCTACATAGTTAAAACAACGATTACAATATCATAATAGACAATACACATCGCACACCCCATACGCACATAAAGAATGAACTTACAACTGAACTGACATTTACCAACTTTCTTCTTCTCTCCTCTCTCGCGTGCAGGAGACAGGCGTTATTCTGCCGCGATTCCCGCGAATGTGATGCGAATTGTCACGTGAAAATGCAAATCCACAAAGATAGAAAAATAAAAAATAATACGCATACAACGATAGCAAAAAACAGTTTTGTAAAAATTATTTCAAACTCCACATTTAGGGGGGCCACAAGGGGGGCCAAGCTTTTTGTCACAGGGGCACGGGCCCCCCTGGCCCCCCCTCTAGAACCGCCACTGGTATAGAGTGGGGGAATAGTTATCACTTACTGTAAAATCCGATTTCTCTCAGGTACGACTCGCCAGTGTAAGATTCACAGTGAATACTTCTACATCACTCTTGTCAACTTAGTCCATATAGCAACAACACATAATTGACTTTATCTAATTGGTTATTTGGGGGGGAAAACGGTGTGTGTGTGTGTGTGTGTGTGTGTGTGTGTGTGTGTGTGTGTGTGTGTGTGTGTGTGTGTGTGTGTGTGTGTGTGTCCCACTACCCACTCAATACACTCTACCCTGGGACTACATGAGCCAGAATATAAATGCAAACTTGTCCAGATTAGTGGAAAATGCTATTTATTATGGGTTAAATTCAAAGCAACATACTAATTACATGATTTTAAAATAGCAGCAGATGCCATGGATGAGCTAAAGCTATATAACAACCTCCTTATAGCATCTTGAGAATGAACGTACGTTTTGGCTCCCTGTTTAGGAAAGCCCTTTGTAACACTGAAGAGCTGCACAGCAGTAAAGTTACAACTGCCAAGCCATGTGTAGGCCTATATGTGTTGATTCCGGCTCCTTTGCCATTTGTTATTGGCTATAGCCTATCAAGCTCACAGCATGAACCCAAAGTATTAATTAGCTGTTCAGTTATATTTACAAATGCACCCTCATTTATGCTTTTAATTGCCATTAAAGTTTGCCTGTGCCATTAAGTATTCCACAGATTCTAATTTTAAACAGATTCTAGATTACTGTATACTCTATAATGGTTATGTGGAGCATACAGTTCAATGGAAAAGAATAGGAGGTCTGCAATGGAATATTGTCATTACCTGTACTTTATTTATCGATTTTTATAGATAATCAGTTTCAGGGAATGGGTGAAACCACTCTTGCTGCTCTCTGATGTAAATAAAAATATCCTGCTCTTAATTCCCATGATGCTAAGTAGCTGTTAAAAGCAACATTTGGCCTTTGGAAGAATCTGGGTTAATGCATTCTCAGTCAGGCAATGGAAGGAAAATAGAGGGGTGGAGGAGGGACATCAAAAGCAATTTTAAATGTTTATACCCAAACGCATCAGGTCAAATGATGAAATGCATTTTAAAATGATGCTATATTTGAAGAAGACTGTTTTTTTGTTTTGTTGTTTTTGAATGATTAGAGCAGATGTATCCCATACTGGGAAAACAGGCACGGCAGAGGATATTGCCACCCTAACTTACTCACAATAAATGAACATTTTATTAAACCCTTGTGCATTTATAATTTCCGAAAGCTTGAGTGCTGGCTGCAACTGTTCATTAATTACCAACTAGTAAACATCTGTTTTGGCCTGTATTGGAGATTCGTACTAGAAAAAGTCACTGTGAGTTACTGAGCTTTCATTTTTGTGACATTAGTCTAAGCTTCAATCTTCTGACTGAAATCTAATATGGTTTCCAAGTTTAAATTTTACCCAAACTATCTAGGCCTATTCCGTACATTCCCTCCCTATTAAAATGTGCTAGGCCTTTGCATATCCATTATGCTATATTTTGAGCCTACATTTGTTGCATTTATGCCTATTACTGTTTGTATTTATTGTTTATTTTATGTGCCATGACTGCCATCTAAAGCCAGTTGCCTTAGAATTCGAATTGTATTCTTACAGTCGCCTGTTAAAATAAATAAAAATGGATTTCTCAGAAAACATAAAACACTATAATTGGGCAGAAAGAAGCTTTGTAAACTTCAAGTCTTTGAACTTCACAGGACATAATATAACAGATGGTCACTTCTCCAACTTGGTTGCATTTTAATGTGTATCAACAGCACCACCTAAAGGTCTTACGTTACACTTTGTTTAATATTGTTCGGTGTTTTGGGCTTACTTATTTATTTATACATATGGGAAGTTGACATGAAATGCAGGGATAGATGACATGTCCTGTGGTGTGACATAGCCTATAGGCTATTCAGTTTAAAATTGGTTTAAGCCTATCTTAAATAAGTAACATTTATGACCTCATATTAATGGAGACTAGCCTATAGTTTACAGCCAGTTTATACTTTGAAAATGACTGGTGAAGGCATAATGTAAAAAAAAAAAAAAAAAAAAAAAAAATATATATAGGCTATATATATATATATATATATATATATATATATATACACTACCGTTCAAAAGTTTGGGGTCGGTACGATTTTAAATACTTTTAAAATAATTCTCTTCTGCTAACCATGGCTGCGCTTATTTGATTAAAAATACAACAAAAATCAGTTATAGTATTAAATATTATTCCAGTGTAAATCAGCTGTTTTCTGTGTGAATATATAGTAAAGTGTAATTAATTCCTGTGATCAAAGCTGAATTTTCAGCATCACCAGTGTCAGTGTCTTCAGTGTCAAATGATCCTTCACAAATCAGTATAATATGAGGATTTGATGCTCAAGAAACATTTTTATTATCAATGTTGAAACAGTTGTTGGTCTGTCAGTTGTACAGTTATTTTTTTTTTTTTTAGGATTCTTTGATGAATAGGGTTAGGGTTAGAATCTTTTGTAACATTATAAATGTCTTTACTGTCACTTTCGATCAAATTAATTATTCCTTGATAAATAAAAGTATTGATTTCTTTCCTCCAAAAAATAAAAATAAAATTCTCACTGACCCCAAACTTTTGAACGGTAGTATATATATATATATATATATATATATATATATATATATATATATATATATATATATATATATATATATATATATATATATATATATACATATAGCAAACCGCTTCAAAAAAATGGAGCCGAAGATAGACACTTTCCCCTAAAAAATCTTATATTCTTTTAACCTGTTGAAAGCATTATGATCAAAAGAATGTTATGCAACTACTCCTATCAATTTAAGCGTTTTAAATTTACAGCACCATCTATTATGTCGCTCATAATTTCTACATAAATATTTTAAATGACTATATAAGTTCTTAGTTTCAGTAAAAAAAAAAAAAAATCATCTGCGGTCTAAACTCTTATTTTGAAACGCAAAAGCTGGATATTACCGGAAATGATCCACACGGTTTCGTTTCGTGGATTCCTCTTTTGTTACTAAATCGCTTATTTTGAACATTATACAAGCAACAAAAAAGAGACATATGTCAAAGTAGATTATCACACGTTGAGATTTAATTATACATACACGTTTGGAATCTCTGGATGCATAAAAAGTTACGCACAAGTGTGATCTGGCTACCTGCATATGACGGATTTTTCACATTTGACAAAGTTAAGGAGAGTTTACTGATATTAAAACTACCACAGGATCTTATAAAATGTAAATAATCGGGCCGCTGGAGATAGTAAACGTTATTCGCGTCATGTCGTAAGTACCGTAATTTTAACTCCTACGTTTTTACAGTCTGGTACGTCCTCGTAGAAATCGTAATTGCAACTATTAACCAGCTGGGCATCTCCAAATTCACGTGTCAATGAACGCACGAGCGCAAAGCACGAACCAATGAATAAAGAATAATGCTTTATGGCACAAGAGAAAAAAAATCTTGATCTGGCCATTCTCGGTACTTTTTGGTACTAGTTCACCCCCAAAATGACAGTTTCTGCCATTATTTGCTCATTTATTTCACTTGAATAGAGATTGTAATTTAAGATTGTTCATCACATAGCACCGTCACCGTGTGTTTGTTTTATTTATCTTATTGTATTACAGTTCTGACGATGTGTCGAAGAGTGCAGAAAAAGTGTGGGGGGAAAACATGAGCTCTAATGAAGAGGTGGCGGCTGCATCCAAACCTTATTTTATAGGGAAGAAAGAAAACATCATTCAAGCCAGACGAGTCCTGAAGTCATTTGGTGGAAGAGATGTTCTAGTGATGTACCACCAGGGGGACTTCTATGCTATTGATGCTCGTTGCTACCGTAAGCTTCTGCATGCTACCATGAAATCAAATTTGACAATTATTGTTTGTTAGGGATTATATTTCTTATAAATGATTTATCGGTGGAGGGCATCATTTGAAAAAATGACGGCCCTATGTTATTCCAATCCCATTTAATTTTCTTTACCTTAACAACCTCACCATACTCAAATAGTGTTTAATTATTTTATTTGCTCAGAATTTATACAGATTGAAGGCTATGCGCATCCTTCCGCCCTCATTAATATTTGACATTATCAGACATATGTTTACATTACACTGCTTTTATGCTTTGCGTTATGCTTTTATTTTGTTGCAGACTCTGGAGGTCCACTTCAGGAAGGAGATATAGAGGTGGGTTGTTGTGAAGCCTTTCATCAGGCAATTTCTCTTATTTATATCTGTATGCCACAAATCTGCTTCAACTTTAAATGTTCTCTTTTGCCACTGAAGGACTTTGATGGACGGCCATGCATAGTGTGCCCATGGCATAAGTATAAAATTACATTAGATGAGGGTGAGGGTCTTTATCAGGCAGTGGACCCTTCTGTGAAGCCTCTGAAACCAACTTGGTGCTCTAAAGGCATTAAACAAAGAATCCACACAGTGACAGAGTCTAATGGAGACGTGTTCCTCACCTTAAACGACTCACCAGGGGCCATTGACTCTGATTACTATCAAACTGAGAAATATAGAGACACTATCTTGAAAGAAGGGGTGAAGAAAACGAATTGACCTCACAGGAAGAGACATCTGGGTGAGTGTCTGCTCTGATCAGCAGAAGGCTTTGAATGTGTTCTGTTGAGACTGTTTCCATCTATCACTGCTGGAAAATCAGTTATGTTGTTTTAAGCTGGTCTATGCTGTTCATTAGCTCAAGTTGACTGCAGTCAGCATGTTTCAAAAACCAGCTTGACCACCTCGGTAGTATACCAACTATAAACTAGTTACCATGTCCCAGAACACAGCTAACAGTTCAGTTTTTTTTTCCAGCAGGGGTGTCAGATTCAGTCTCTGATTTTAAAGTCCTTTTTAAAACTGGTCTAGGAGTTTTTCCAATGTATTCTGGTGCTTTCCAAGTACTTTTTATTTACATTTTGGTTTTGAATTTTCATAAATGTTTAAATGATGTACATTTTTTTGGTTTATTTATTTAGTAAATTATTGTCATTAAATCACTGTATCAGATCACTTGTATGCTATTTCATGGAATTCCCGGCTTTTATTCCTCAGATTTTCTTTTGGTTTGGTGACAGGTGCACTGCACAGACAGAACAGGCACCTAAAAGTTTCCAAAGTGTCAGGTGGAGAACAGAGGACCCAAGCGTGAAGTGCAGGTAATAAAGTCTCTTTAATATAATAAAGGTAATGAGCCACGTTACGGGCAAAAGGCAGTTCAACAGAAAGTCTCTTCTTGAAAATAATTAACAAAGGAGACCGGAAACCCAGGATCGGGCTGCAGTGGTCAGCGGGCAGACTCCGTAGTAGAAGTAGATAGTGGGAGGCGGAATGCAGAGCCGGGCCAGCCTTCAGCAGCAGAGTGACTGTGCAGAACATAGAGCCATTAACGACAATAGACTTTACCATGATGCAGGGCTCCGACAGGACTAGACAAAGCTGGGTAGACAGAGGGACCTCAGACATCAGTTTGATACAAAATAATCTCGCAAGGAAGAAGACAGAGAGAAGGCTAGAAGTAGCAATCATAATCAGAGGAAAGGGAGGGCAGGTGTGAGATGATCAGCGCAATTGCTGGCAATAATGAGAAACAGCTGAGTAGAGAAAAGGTGCGTGAGGAAATGTGTGTGTGTGTGTGTGTAAATGAGTGTGCGAGAGGCTAATTAGGAGAGAGAAAAGAGGAGGAGAAAAACCTGGTTCATGACACAAAGGGGGCTTTTCACTGGTATGTGTGAAGAACTTTTTAATAATCTAAAGAAGCTTTTGTTTTTATGGAATGTTGAAGGTTCTTCTTGGAACCATAGATGCCAATAAAGAACAATTATTTTTAGGAGTAATGTTAATGAAAAGTAGATATACTGTTGCTCATAACCGTAAATATTATACAGCTCATAACTGTTTAGTCAAAGGAAAAATAAAAAAGTAGTGTTCTGATATATTCTCTCTTTAAAGGTACACATGTTACATTTTGGTATTAACCAAATTTAGATAATGTCAAGACATCATCAATCCTTCTTTCAAAATGTGTTTGGTCTCATTCTGATTCACTGTGGTAAGCCTTTTACAAGTGTTTATATTTTACATGCGTCACTCGCCTGTAGATACCCTTACGAAAAAAATATATATTTCCCAATATATGAATGATCAATATATTAAATTATATAACAGTATATTTGAAAATATACAGAAAAATATATTAAAAAATATAAAAAATATTATACAATATATTTACTAATATATCATAATGTATGTAATTTTATATTCAATAATACACTTCATAATATATAGTTGTATTGTATATATGATCAGATATGGTACTGCATGTGTAATATAATATTGCAGATATATTTACTCATGTATTATAAACACACATATATAGAGAAATATATAATGTAATATATTTCTTATATATTTTATAATTATTTACATTATTAATGTTCCATATTTTCAAGCTAATAAACAAAAGCACAAGCACACCTGCATGTACTAAAGTATTTAGCCAAGAGACTATCACTGTGCTGAGGAGTGCACAGCCATTACTGTTAAAATATAGTAATTATAGTCATGATGATATTAGGCCAAGTCAACCGAACCACAGGCTACTTTTCAGCACAATGGTAACCCCAAAAACTCAGACATACTAGAAAACCTTTTAAATTCCAAAATAATAGAACATTAAACACTAACAGATCTCCCCCTATATTAATATTGAGCAAAACACATCAAATAACACATCATTTTAACATTTTCTCTCCCTTAAAGCTGCAGTAGGGAGTTTTGAGAAAACGTTGACTTAGCCTGAAAATTTGAACAAGCACAACTTACAGGTCCCACCCCCTTGCTCTCTGCTGCGCTACAGCCCTCCCTCCACGGCTCGTCCTCCACAGCGGAGCCTGTCGTGAACGCGCAGGCTAGTAAGCAGGGCCACCGTAAACAGTTACGGCACATTCACTAGTAGGGACGAAACATCAACAATATGCTTTACATTGACTAAGGCCTGCCCATACTTTGACTACAAACTTGGTCGTCAAATCATTACGTATTTTGGAATACATGTAATGTAACTTTATAACATTGCACCCTTTCTATAAGTTATAAATAGCTAGTAAGATAATATAACGGTAACTAACGTAACAACAGTATGTAAGTAATTATTCTAGCGATATGTAGGCCTAATGCTAGATAAGGTTTGCTAGTACATTTGTAATGGGGTTCAGTTGTTATGGGAAGAAGGAGGCGGGAACCGGCGAACGTTCAACAAGTTTATTAATAAATAAACAAATACAAAATGAAAGTATAAGCCAGCAGCCCCTCACGGACAACACACAAAACAGAACATAAAATCACAACGTAAAATCAGGCCTGTTCCTCTCTCGATCTTCACTGTCGTCGCTCCTCCTTTATGCTTCCGCTCCTCCGTGAGAGATGCGAGACCGGTGCGTCTCACAGATGTCGTTCATTATCACTCGCGCCGCTCTCACGTCCCTCGGCCTCGTCCTGCTCGCCACAACAATATTTCAGCAACATGACAAGCCAGTGAATTAGCAGGTTTCAATTGTTGCTTTGCACAATGCGTGACATTTTATCTACATGTTACGCGGCTAGAGTTTTGACACCGAGTCAATGGGCTCTGTCTAATTCTTTCTTTTTCGCTTGTTTATCGTCATTGGTCTTTTTCCTTTGTCAGAAATTGTCGGTTCAGGTTGTTTCTCCGCCATTAGCACAGCTGCAGCACAGCGGCAATCTTGAGTTTGAACGACGGTACGCACTGTGCAAGAGAGGGGTGTGATCAGCGCGTACACGAGCGTGACTGACACTGCTAAGACATTCCTCCTGGCTCTGATTGGTTGTTTCTGAACGGGAGCGGTGTATTTCTGCAAATGGCAATAGGACCACTGGGAGGAGCCAGAGGAGCTTGATTTTTTCACATGTATTTTTCACACATGTCAGGACATAATGACAGTTTTAACAAATATGTAAAAAATATTTTTTTTACAAAAGTTACCTACAGCAGCTTTTTGAGTCTAGAACTAGAAATCTGTTGTAACTCATTCCGTGAATGTGTGTGTATATGTGTGTGTACATACATTCACATTTATATGGGAACATGTATGTGCAATATATACACAATAAAGGATAAAACTTTGTGAATATTACATGTAATGCTATGTTTGTCTTCATTTATAATAATTTTTTATATGTATTAATATATAGCCATGGTCAATGCATATATTGAAAAATATAAACACTAGTTTCCCCATGGAAATATTTTGCAGTATATTTCTATATATTTTTGTATACCCCATAAGGGTATAATCTCTCTCTATTTGGCCAGATTATCAGATATTTAAAAAATGCAACGTTTGGCCATATAAGACTGGGAATCGTCTTGATAACTTGTGTAACGTCATTCATTTAAAAATACCTGTGTTCCCAATTAGTCAACAACTGCATAAAATATTGCACTTGGGTCCAGATGACATAATTCTTGAATTTCCATATTCATCCACAACAGAGCCGAAGCACAACCAAAACAATGTTCTTTCGCAAAGTGCATGCCGTTTTTTTTTACCCGGGCCAAATTACGTAGTGTACCATTTAAATAAAGAATATCAACAGTACTTGCTTAGATTCTGTGTTCAGCACCTTTAATTAATATTTTTAGATTTGTGAACAGGAGGGCGGTCCTATGAGCTAGTGGGGGTTCGATGTAAGTGCTTGTCTACTGAGTTAGGGATAGTGATGACAGTTTGTGAACTAAAGGTGGGGTGAGTCAGGGGGTCAAAGGTGACATGGAAAAATGAGGGACCAATGATGGAGGTGACCGTGGGTGTTTGAATGAGAGAAAGGGGTTCGTAATTGTGTAAATAGGAGTGGTTAAGTTAGCCTTGGGGGTGCTTAAGCATAGATAACATTCCACAGCAACACCATTTACCAAAAAAAGATCTGTAGTTAAATTACAAAATACTGTAGGATAAAAAGCAGAGTAATTTCTTTTCTATTAAGCAGGTTTGATGAAAGGAAATCTCACCCAGTGAATAGATGCACATTATAGAACTCAGTATTTTTTAATTTGTTCATGTTTTAAAAACATCCTGGGAAATTAAGAGTAGGCTAATGCTAACAACTTAAACACACTTTAAAATAAATGCATACTTTTTTGTTTAACCCAAAGACTGCAAGTTTAAACAAACTTTTCTTCAATCCTCAGGGGGTAACGCATGTAAAACGACACCACTGCACTTTAGGGGTCGAAGGCTTCAAGGATGACTGTAACCTTTTCATTATACTCCTGCCACTCATACAGAAGCTTGCTGTGAAGACCAGGTTTCCATAACAAATTACCTGTTTAAAAATGTCTAAATGACCATGCAAGGCAATACTGTAAGTGGTACAGATGAACACAAAATATATATTTTTTAAATTACAGATCACCAGTTCTGATGTAACCTTTTACGTAATCACGTAAATGTGATACTTCATTCCTTAAAATGAGAACATATGCCCTAAATATACAGCTCTAAATATCTTTTGATGAGCGTTTGAATTCATTGTTGAGAAATAAAATTTCAAAAACAAAATTCTCGTATTTGTTAATAGTTCAGAAGTGATTTTGTTTACATTCTTTGCTATTTCCTTTTTTTAAATTTTATTTTGCAAATTTTTGTTTTAATAAGTGGGTGTTTAGAGAGAAGAAAAAAGTCTTGTTTAAATAAACCATCTTGCTTTAAAATCTTGTTTCAAGGTTTAAATGAAACCGATATAACAAAAAATTGTTTGTCATGGCCCAAATGAATACGTAAAGTCTTGAACCTTTGACTGAATCCATATCTGTCTTGATCTATAAAGCCCCAAGTAATGGCATTCAGTTCCCAGCTGTAAAACAATCTGCTGATTCCAGCAAAGTTTCAAGACAAAATTTCCATTTTCACTCACTAAACCAGGCTGTCTTTATTTTCAAATGAACATGTTAGTCATCTACACAGTTTAAAGGGATAGTTCACCCAAAAATTCAAATTACCCCATGATTTACTCACCCTCAAGTCATCCTAGGTGTATATGACATTCTTCTTTCAGACGAATACAATCAGAGTTATATTAAACAATGTCCTGGCTCTTCCAAGCTTTACAATGGCAGTGAATGGACGTTTCTGTTTTGAAGTCCATAAAAGTGCATCCATCCATGATAAAAGTGCTCCACGCGGCTCTGGAGGGTTAAATAAAAGCCTTCTGAAGTGAAGATATATGACGTAGAATGTAGGAGTATTGTAAGCTTTGACACCTCTCGCGGTTCAAACAAACAGGGCTGGGCAACAAACTCAATCTCCTCCGACATTTCTCTTTAAAATTGCGGTTCTAGTCTTCTAATTCGTGACAGGTGTTTTATTTTGCTCTATCCTCTGCGCTTCCGTGTTCGTCAATACGTCATGCGTCAGGTCAAGAGTTACTCTTTCGCCGTAAATCGATGCGTACTTCTGTCTATTTTAGTCGATAAAGTTTTAAATATGGATATTTTTCTTACACGAATGCATCGCTTCACTTCAGAAGGACTTTATTAACCCCCCGGAGCCATGTGGAGCACTTTTATGATGGATAGATGCACTTTGATGGACAAAACAGAAACGGCCATTCACTGCCATTAGAAAGCTTGGAAGAGCCAGGACATTTTTTAATTTAACTCTGATTGTATTCGTCTGAAAGAAGAATGCCATATACACCTAGGATGACTTGAGGGTGAGTAAATCATGGGGTAATTTTCCTTTTTGGGTGAACTATCCCTTTAAATGACTGAGAGGATGGATCACTTCAACCATTTCTTTTCAGTCATTCATGTCAGAAAAATTAGGTCACAGTTGGCATAAAATGTTTATCGCTTTACAGTTGAGTATCTACAACACAGTATATAAAATGAAATGTGTATGATTTCCACATCTGTCATATACAGTTAGTATGTATGGATGCTCTGTTTTCCTTTCACCAGGTCTGCCAGTTATGTAACTCAACCTATCACAGCTCAACTCTAGTTCTTCAGGCACGTGCTTTCTCTGCAAGGGGTATTTGTATGAATGCGTGTGTGTGGTGGCTGGAAGAAAGAGAGCAGGAATGTGTGTATATTCCAGACTTGAAACTTTGTGTATTGGCTCCATCAAAGATGTTCTTGTGTAGATAAACCAGAATCTATATCACGTTTGTTTGCTAAACACTTGTGGGTTATAGTAGGCCTATGTATTTGTATTTATAGGCCCAATTAAAAACAAATTGTCAGTTGCATATATTCACACTATATTCGTGCTGAATATATGCAATTGTTACAAAATGTAGGAATGTGAGTCTTGATACCTAAATAATAAGGAAAGCACAGACCTTCCTACTATATTTTTTTCAAACCATTTTCAATCTTAGTGGAATAGCGGGTAACACTATTTACAGTGTCCTTGTTACACATTACACTAGGCTACTATAATAATAATAATAATAAATTATGCATATGCTAATTAGCCTACATGCAATAGTGTTGGGTGTAATGTAAGCTATTACTGAGTAATTAATTACTGTAATTTGATTACTTTTCCAATGAAAAGTAAAGTAAGGAATTTATCTTTTTCTGTAATTTAATTACAGTTTCCTCTGATGTAATTGCATTTAATACTAGCTATATAGACTATAGAACAATTTTATATAAAACAATAGTGAATGCAACATCAAAATCGTATGTAGGCTATAATGTTATGTATGTTGTCTTTGTACTTAAAAACATGTATGATTACACTGTAACAAGGACACCTACTAATAAAGTGTAACCTAGAAACGTTAAAACGTGACTTAAGCTGTCGAATCGGAGTTGCAAAAAATGTTATGCAACCTTGCAAAGAGCTGTGGGGTCTGCCCACTTCATGTCATGATGATTATGAAGACTGATGTGTAGGTGCGTGGACTTCCCCCTATAGGCAGACACAGAGATGAAAAAAATCAACGCGCCTTTAAATAGAACCATATTGTCATTCTGACTGCTGTTATCTGACTGCAACAGTGGCGACGGATCCGCTCGTCGCCTGACCGAATAAATACACTTTATATTCTTTCATACAGTAGGCTATATTCTAGTAAACATGCCTAGCAAGAGAAAGAAGAACAAACGCCGAATGAGAAGAGTGGTGAGTACATTACTTTCACACTTTTTAATCAGGGTCCTGCAATCAATATGATGTTATTTTTATAGCGTCCAAACTAGTTTTCTAGTTTGATCTGCCAGCTTTACTTGGGCTTTAAATAGTTTTTTTTTTTTAAATAAACGATAGCATAATGCATTTTCTCCAATGATGTTGTTTATTTAGCATATCATTACTATCGTTGCCTACTAGAGGAGTTACATTTAGTAAGATGACGCCATAGGTTTATAATTTTCTGTTCTCAGACCATTTATGTCCATATGAAGAATTGGTTGATTTTTCCCCCCCCTTATTAGTTAGAATTAGTTGATTTAACTATCAATAAATGCAACACATCGAGCAGGGGTATATTTTGTAGTAGGGGGTGTGTCCCATATAGGAACCAGTAGAGATGCAGCGGAATTACTCACATCCCACTTTGTACTATCTCTAATAACAGATGGATGGATGGATAGATAGATAGATAGATAGATAGATAGATAGATAGATAGATAGATAGATAGATAGATAGATAGATTTATATAATTATAATTAATATCTGTTTCACATAATGTTATTGGTTTGTTTTGTGGTCCTTTTTTCTTTGTTCTGTGCAACGAACCAAATCATGCCTTTTGACCCCACCCCAAAAAACTTATAAGGAGTTTGTTGATTTTGGCATATCCCATGGGCCAGTCTGATTCCAAACATGGTTGAAGGCACATTCCTAAAAAGACAGTTGGTCCAGAGACCACCAGTTATAAATCCATTGATTTTTAATAAGTGTATTTTTGAAAGGTGATTTAATTTACATTCTGTCATTGCAAAGGTATGTTGCACAATATTGACCATTCCTCACCACTCTAAGACATATTTGTCCTCTGTGACCAGTGACATAATGAAATACACACAGTTTGTGCATCTGAACACTGAACTCTTTGTTTGAATTTGACAGCAGTTTTTTTAAGTGCATATCATTAAAATCTCACCCTTTTCATTCTGCTTAGCTAAACATGTAACCGATTAATGCTCAGTTGCTGTTCCAAAACCCTGGCATGCAGTCATATCAACAGAACTGCCTTTAACACAAGTACAGAAATAGAGGGGTATCTATTATCTCTCTAGCTGTTAAGCCCCCGCCCCCCGAGATACAGCTGGTCCTAAACAGGGCACAATTCACCGTCTCTAATCATGCAGTCAAATAAGAAATGGTGAGTACTTGGGGGTGAGCGCATTCCAACACTGTTTGTTGCTTACCAGCACTTCAAAACAGAAGAAACATCAATTTTAAAGTCAGCTGCCAGAGCCAATTAACTCAATTTTTGCAGCTGTAGGCTCATGCAAATGCATCTTTTATGTTTTTTTCTGTTTGCGTTAGAATGAACAACCTTGAAGCAAAATGTGCTTTTTTCCTAAACACCTCCTCTGTTCCCCCAAACGCAGACTGTTTATTTTGTTATGCTGGCCTGTTTCATGAATTTGGGCCCAAGTTTTGCCTGATTTGGCTTTGTCAGTGCTGATGCTGATCTTCACACATGGTTGCATAATTTGGCCTTAACTGTGCTGGCAACTGTACACCCCATACGTGCACAATGGGAGCTTAAATTCTTTTGAGGCCTATGTAAACCGCACTGGCCAGCCCCTGCTTTTGGATAAGGAAGCTGTGAGTGTGATTATAATGCGATTATGGTTCCATTATGATGTGATTAGCATTTTTGTCTGTTCTGTTTAGCCCCATCCAGAGCTCCGAGGGGTGCTGACTCTTCCAACTCGCTTGACTAGACATGTCAGAATCAATTGGATTCAGCCATTTTTTTGCCATTACACAGCCAACTTTTGTTAACTTATGTAAGCTCTCAGGGAAGTCGTTAAACCCTGTCTAAAACCATTATGTGCTCAACTGAACTAAAGATAAAAATAAATAGGTTCTGATTTCAAATCTCAACTATTTCTCATTACTTCATTTGTTTTGAGCAGCAGGCCCAGAGAAGGGCCCTGGAGGAACAGTACGCCTCCTCTGGAAAGGGAACCCCAGGAGTGTGTGCCGTCTCTGCCCCAGTTCCTGCAAGGGTTCCAGTTGCTAAAACTCCAGAGAGTCCTGTGTCGGTTTCAATACCCCTGGCGGTGATTGCTTCAGTTGATGTTCCCGCTGAAGTTCCTCCTGCAGAATTGGTTGTGTTCGAGCTCCCAGTAACGGATGCTGTTAAAGACGAAGTGGTAAAAGCTGCAGAGGACCTAGGACAAAGCCTAGTGGAACCCCCTGCAGAAGAGCCAGCTGTTATTAAGGAAGATGAAAGTATCACCGTTCCAGTATCAGAGGTAATGTGAATGTGAACCTCCTTTTTTGAGGTTAATTATATTTGATAATTATTAAGTGCACAGAGAAATTCGTGGGAATTAGCAATCATTACAGTGGACTCAACGAGTCTGTAAAGTATGGGCCTGACAGTAATGGCTTCTTACAGCCTGGATGGAAGATGGGGTGTGGTCACGTATGCAATGTAGGAGGGGAATATTTTTTGAACATTCTGTTCAGCATGCCTGGAGCCACAGCAGACTTTTCCAAACTGCTGTTTTATTGAAAACGAGATCATAAGCTTTTCTGAATCCTGCTTCCTTTTTAGGAACAGTATTTCAACTTGTTGTCATTGAACACCAGTTGGCTCAGTAGGATTTTAACTGGTTGCCTGTGTTGAATATTTGAGATTAGATATCCACACATTCTGTGTCTAGAGACTCTGCTGTATGTGAGCAGGGCTGCCGATAAGGGGGGGCTATAAAGCGATTGCAGTTTCAACCGAAGGGGACAAGGAAACACGATTCAACCAGTGAAACCCCGGAAAGTAATTGTGCTGAGTAGAATGATAATGGAGTTTTTATAACAAACCCAACAATTATGTAAAGGTCACGTTTACCGTTGTTTGGCGAATTTTCGTGACTAAAATCCAGTCATTTCCATAGGAATCCACTCAATCAGGAATTTCATGTGGAGGCAAAATATTTCCCCATGCACATTTTGCAGCAGTTTCAAGTTGGTCACATACATTTTTCCTCTTTGACCAACAGAAAGCTGCTTGGTTTAAAAATGTGACTTCTGTTTGAGTTGTGCATCATACATTGCTACACTATTGACAACAGACAATGGACAACATTTACTGAAGTGACTGCAACTGTTATCAGGCTTGCACTTTTACACTGACAGATTTTCTGCTGCATAAACAGCTGCACCTCTTAAATAAATAGATTTTAGCATTACTACATTGCATATTTTTTTTGATAATGGGCATAAATAAATAAAAATGGTTATTGGGAGAGTGCCACTGAGAATTATTACAAACTTGATGCTCATGAAATCTAATTTACCTGAGGAGTGGAACCACGTTTATTTTCAAATAGAAGTCTAATCTAACCGAACCCAAACTGCAAATGTAGCTATGAACTATAAGCTATAAATCTTTTCTCAGTTAGATTTTCTTAACAGAAAGTCATTTTTGTCGGTTCAGTATGCTGTTCCATTATTATATGTTGCTTTATAAAAGCCTGTATTGTAAAATATAAATATTTAAAAGTATATTATTTTATAAATTAATTGCATTATATTAATATATGTTTTATATATGAAATAAATTCTTTTAAAATGCATTTTTTAACATGTTTACTTCTAAGTTAAGCAAGTTCTGCTTAATATGTCTCTACTTTCTGTGTTGCGTCTGTGATGGCTCATGTGCAAAGTGTGACATCAGCTGATGTCTGTTTTCTGACATTATTGTGCTTACATACATGTACAAATATGCAAGCTGACACTCTCCCCAAACAATACCTTAATATATAGTCATTCCTCAACCTCCTGTGCCTCACCCTCCCCCCTGTTTTTTGAAGCCAAGCCAAGCCCTTAAAGCCCACCCTTCTTTTCCTGTGAGCTCTGCTTCAGCCTCTCCTCTCCCTTCGCAGACATCACAAGTGCTTGGGTTGGACATCCACACACTGAGAGTGGCACAGGGACAGGGCGAGTGAGAAAGACACATACCCTTGCAGTGAGTGTCAGGTTAAGGTCTGAGTTTTTTTTTACTGGAGTGTCAGGTCTGTCGCCATGGGGCTCATTCTCAGTTGGCTTCGAGGCCCTCGGGAGCCCTTTGACTTGCTGGATGTCTCTGTGGAAACGCAGGTGAGCTCCCACCTCAATGGATGGAGGCTTGTTGAAGGGGTTTAGCTGATGGAGAAAGAACATTTTGTACTGTCTGTGTCAACCCCAACCACCCCCCCCCCCCCCACCCCCCCTCTAGCTTTCTTTCTCTTTGTATTTTTGTAGGGGTCATGTGGGCGTTGCATTAGCTGGTGTGTTTGACATTGTGGAGGAGGAGCTTAAATATTTAATGTGAGTTTTTCTGAATGCACATAGGTGGGTGGAGACAAGGAATCTGCTTAGGTCGGATACATGGGCTAGTCATGCATACTATTGAGGAGTTGTGGCACGTTTGACGTACTTGTTGATAAGTTTCAGTGCAGGGATTGCTTGCTTAGTAAAATTAGAACTGTAAAAGCAATTTTACAATTTGAGTTATTTATAATTGGCATTGTTTTGTTTAATTGTTATTTAATCTGTTGAAGAAATAGAATGTGAAACAGATATCTGACTGAGGGCTCATTTATAACCACGTGCACACATGGTCAGCTCTCAGGAGACGTGGTGGCCAACAGAATCTCCTTTGTCTTTTTTAACAACAATCTTTGTGACAACAGTTGAATGTGTTACTCTGTAAGTCTTTGTGTGGTTTACACAATACTTTTAAGTTAAATGTCATTCTGCAGATGGAGAATCTATGATGTGAGCATACATTAAACAAAATTTTGTAATGCTTTACCATGGTTATTATAGTTTTGAGTTTACTTCAGTTTTATCTAATTTAGTTTTAATTTTCCCTCCGTCACTGTTGGTTTTATTTTTTAATATGGTAACTTGTATATTTTGAAAATGTTTAATGCCGTAACACATTCTCAGCTGAGTCTAGTGTTATTTCTGTCTATGGCATTTCCATGCTTATTTTTTTGCAAATTTTATGCATGAAACTAAACAAAAATACATTACTCACTTGCATTTAGTTATGTTTTAGTGCATTTAGTTATGCATTTAGTAGCTTTTATTTCCATTTCAGTTAAGAAGTTTTAATTTAGTTTTCGTTAATACACTGTGCTCTATTTCTCTGCATCAAAATTGTTTATATGAAATAATATAATATAATATAATATAATATATTTTTGTGAATTAAATGTTTGCGATGGCATTGAAAGATTTGCACAACTGCATTAATTTTCATCCATTTTTGCTCATAGTTCTTCAATTTTAGCCAGTCTCATTACAACCTTAAAGGGGTACTTTACCACTGGCAAAATGGGCTTTCAATAAAACTTGGCTGCCTATACAGTAGAAAATTGATGACAAAATAATATAAAATTCAGTGCTACCTGACTAGAGAAAAAAGGCAGTGGTCTTCCCTTTTGCCAAATAGGTAGAAAAACTTCAACATCCATAATGCACTGGGCATGTTGCTTTCCAAGGCCATTCCCAACAGTCTGCAATGGATACGCTTACCAGAGTCAAATACCGCCTTGCTTTTGTAGAAAATATTTCTTAGCAAACTTTTAGTCATTATGGTGTCGACTTGTACCTGGCTGGTTGCAAGAATTCAAAGAGTAAACATTTAGCGGGTTACTTTCCAGCGAAGGATCCAGTGCGTTGTAGGCAGTGGCTAAAGGCTGCAAAGGATCGTAAAAAAGGAAAGAACGCCGTGACGGAAAATCTGAAAAACCTTAGTGTTTGTAGTCAACATTTTGAACTGGATGACTATGAACACAGTGTTTTATGCCAAAATGGAGGGGAAAAAACTGAAAGAAACTGCCGATCTGTCTGTTCCGCCCAACAACCCGAAGGAAAACTCTTGTCGCGTATAAGAAAGAAACTATTGCCATAGTGTTCCATTGTCCCATAATGCTGTTTAAAGAGTAGACAAAGTATGATAAAATTTTCAGTGATAAACCTACCCTTACAATAACTGTTCTGTTAACAACCCTTTGACGATCCGATTGTTTGTGGGCAGGAATTCAAAAATGTGGAAGTATAATTCTGTAGTTTTTCACAAAAGCCTTGGAGCTTTGCACTGTCCTCATCAGAGCTCATTTGCCAGTACATTCAGCATCTGACTCATATTTGCCATCTCAAACATATTCTCAAAACTATCATTTTCAACATCTTCAAAGTCAATATTTTGATCGCTGACAGCTTCTTCACCAGATCCACTATCAAGTGACAGTGACAATAATATTTGATTGTGTTCAGTACTTGCTCTGCAGTAAATCGCTGATGATACTTCCTATTCTTTTGTTTTCTGTGAAACGTCACTTCTTTATTGTGTATCAGACAATTGAATTGAATTGCACTTCTTCAGTTATCAAAGATTCAATTATAGTTGTGCAGAATATACTTACACACCTTGGGTCGTTAGCGACCCTATACAATGTTTTATAAAAAAATGAATAGAAAAACGGGCATTCTTTTATTATTGTATTTTTTTAATACTGTTTATAATGAATTGATTAAGAAATACTACAACAAGTAGGTTGATGTCTAACTTTAAAAAATGAATGAGGAGGAGTGTAGTGAATGACATCCAGGGACACTAGACCCAAGGTATGTGTTTAAGGGTTAATGTCATCATAAATATGACTACTTAGTATCTCATAATTATGAGATTAGACTTTATGCCATAAATATGCCTTTTATTTCATTATTTAGAATTTAATGTCATAAAAATGCATTTTAATTCATAATTATGATTTCCCAAACATGACTTCCATAGAAACTTGCACTGTACAGTTGCATACATTTTAAATCAAAACAGTGGGAGAACTCAGAATAGTCTGGAACACTTTGTTTCTTAAATTTGCCCTGGAAGATTTTGTTCTGCTACCACAGGGGGCGTTTGGAGCACATAGAGCACTGTGTATGTAGAGCGCATTAATATTAAACCTTAATCAATATTTCAACAACACGGCATATGTTGTACTCACATGTTACACTTTGCTCTGCAATAAACATGCATAATTAGCATTTAGCATTGTAAATTATCCCCCTGTTTCTCACAATATGGTAGTGTCACTTTTTCTAAAACAAATGTTTGGTTAGAGAGTCTTGTTGGCGTGGTGGAACTGACATTGCAAGTATTGTTATCATCATTATTAAGTATTATAATATAGTTTAATATACTTTATTGCATACAATTGTAACACAATTAATCTTTAGTGTGATGTGGACCTTTACATTTTGTGATTACTGTCTTTTTCAGGCCATATCATCTATAGATGAGCCAGTGTCCATCCCTGCAGACACTGAGGTATGGTAATATGCTATATCCCATCAGTCCTCAGCAATTCAACCACTGTCAACACCTTTGCCTTTGGCCATTCACACTAATGGGCTGGTAAAGGTGTTTTTCCTTATTACTAGGCCTCCAGCGCCACACCTTACCTTTCAGGGTGCATTTTTATGGGGGGTTTTCCCCTCATAACTTTGCTTTATGAGGTGTAAAGAAAACTTAGTAACCGCATCTTTTTACTTTTTTTTACTTTTAGCTTTACACATATATCCATGCATAAAGAATGCATATATAAATGAGGCTTTGTATTGGGTTAGACATTTAAATGAAGGTTTTGAATTAAGTATTAAAGGAATTTACTAAAGGAATCAGTTCTTTCTTTTTTTATTTTACTATGACCTTTTCAAAACACGCTATTCACAGATCCAGTTTGAGGACACTACACCTGTAGCCACAGAGGTATATATATATATATGTGATAATGATCATTCTTTGTTGGTTTCATACTATATTTTTTGACTACCACAAAGCAAAACTAGAATCCTCCCTTTATTAACAAAATATTATTAAATCATAGAAATGCTTCAAAGATTGTAAGTGCTATGCAAAATACATTTCTGTTGTGTTCAATAAATTATCTTACTCTACCGTTCAAAAGTTTGGGTTCAGTAAGATTTTTATTTTATTAAATTAATACTTTTATTCAGCAAGAATGTGTTAAATTGATCAAAAGAGACAGTAAAGACTTTTAGATTTTTGCAAAAATAAAATAAAATAAACAATTTAAAAATAAAATAAACAATAATAAGAAATGTTTCTTAAGCACCAAATTAGCACATGATTTCTGAAGGATCACAGGAATAAATTGCATGTTAAAAAATAGGCCTTTAAAAACAGTCAATTTAAATCTTAATATTTCACAATATTACTGTTTTTATAGGGGGTTTTTATCAAATAAATGCGGCCTTAGTGAACTTAGAGTTCTTTTAAAAAGTACTTTTTAATGGTAGTGTAAAACCTTGATGTATTGTAATATTTAAAGTACAGAAAATGTTAACATGTGACTATTGTGCTTGTTTGTACTTTATGTATTGCATGTTTTCTGTACAGACGCATGTTTTAGCTCAACTTGTCGAGACGGTTGACACCGAGCGTGAAGTTGAAGCTGAGCTTCCTGCTAAGGATCCTCTGGCAGAGGTGCCAGTGCCAGCTAAGGATCCTGTGGTAGAGGTGCCAGTGCCAGCTAAGGATCCTGTGGTAGAGGTGCCAGTGCCAGCTAAGGATCCTGTGGTAGAGGTGCCAGTGCCAGCTAAGGATCCTGTGGTAGAGGTGCCAGTGCCAGCTAAGGATCCTGTGGTAGAGGTGCCAGTGCCAGCTAAGGATCCTGTGGTAGAGGTGCCAGTGCCAGCTAAGGATCCTGTGGTAGAGGTGCCAGTGCCAGCTAAGGATCCTGTGGTAGAGGTGCCAGTGCCAGCTAAGGATCCTGTGGTAGAGGTGCCAGTGCCAGCTAAGGATCCTGTGGTAGAGGTGCCAGTGCCAGAGGAGACGGTGACTTCAGCTGAAACTGTTGCTGCAGTTGAAACTGTGACAGAAACAGTTGTAACCGAAGTCGAGCCTGTTGCCGATGTCGCAGTGGAAGTCGACGGGAATGTTGTCGGGGTCGTGGGAGAGCCTGCCATCGAAGCCGAAGCCATAACTGTTAAAACTGAGCCTGTTGAAGTCCACAGACTCACAGAAGTCACGGAGGTGCCTGACACAATACATCTTAATGGCACATTGCAATGGACTCTTTGCATGGGTTAATTTGTATGCACAACAGGTGACTTTGTCTTGTCAGTTCTGTGCACTTGTTTGGATAATTGGGCATGACATGAGCCTCACTCTTCCCATCCTTTTTTTAATTCCCTTGGACAGTTCAGGCCATGTTTTTCAGGCACACTAAACTAACAAGTGCTAGCACATAGCAATTTTTTAATATGATTTCTCCTCCTTTCCTACAGGATGTACATGTAGAGCCTGAACCAGAAGAGTTTTCAGTGGTAAGTTTATTTGATTTGATTTTTTTTTTGATTCTGGGATTTTTTGGGGGGGGGAATAGTTCAGCCAAAAATATTGGCAAATTCTGTCATTGTTAACTGTGTGAGGAACCAGAAGTGGGGGTGGTTTCAGATTCCATTTGCGGGAAGTTTATTAAACAAACAAAGACAAATGCACAGTTTGGATTAAAACGTCTGCAAAATTAATAAACGTAAATGTAAATCCAAACAGTGAGACAGAGCGGCATAGTCGACGAGGCAGGCAAAAGTCCAGTAACGTATGGAACAGTCCAACCTGGCAAACAAAACAGAACAATAATCCACAAAACAGGCACAAAGGAAATGGAACGAGAATCAAAACAGCAGGCAATGAAAACGCTTGGTAAGGCAGTGTGAAGAACACAAAATGGCAATACTTTGCATTAAATTCAGGCAAGGCAAGGCTTTAAAGGTCCCCTGAAATCAAATTTCTTTTCTTTTTTTTAGCTTTTAGTATAAATATATTAGCCTTAAGGTTATGAATAAGCTGGTGTGTTCCAAAACAATGACAAAATTCGCATTTAGGAGATATAAGCGTTCAAAACTTACAGTCTCTCATTTCTGCTAAAATAGATCACAGATTTTTATGACATCACCGTGGACTTCAGCTTCTCATCACATCTTCTGTCCAATCAAATGGTCTCTAGAAGGCGTCCCGCACCCTATGCTATAAAAACCACCTAGCCAAAGCGACCGTTGACATGTCACGGAGCAATATGGGTTGGAGATGTGTGTTCGGTTGCTCAAACGCTCGAGTTTTATTCCGTTTATAAATTGTATGTTGGTTAAGAATGAAATGACTAGAATTTATTCACACCTCTACTATTGAATCCAACGTATCTTCAGTGCTCGGATTCGCTTCCATGGTGCTGTCAAGTACGACTTGAAGTCTGTGAGGTAAACTAAACGCTGTTCGCTATGTGAAAAGGGGGAGGAGCCATTCAATATGTCCCGTCTTAGCTTCCTGTTTCAGTGGAAATTACGTCAACACAGCATACAAAGCTGCGCGTTCCAAGGCACTTCAGTGGGCCTTTAATGACTAACAGGAGGCATAGAATAAATGGTACATGGTCAGTATTCGTGAGAGGGCTCCCTCTGGTAGCCAGCTGAATGGCCCCTCATGTCGTTCTAAACCTGTACACTAGTACACTGAACACTAGGGCTTCATAATTAATCGCAATTTACATGAAATCGTACTTAAACCGATTTGGCTTATCGCGATTATGAAATCGCAAAGGCTGAGTTTTTTTTTTTATGCGCAGCTTGTCATTGATGTACGGCTCTATAAACGCTGCTCCATCTGAAAGTACTGCAAGTTTGAGTCACTTACAACGTGCATTTGAAAAAGCAACACACGTCAAACATCTTTCCAAACATGAGAAGCATTTATGAACCTCTTGTCCAACAAAAGACAACATTTAATAACATGCTTTTACTCCAAACTTACTTCATAACGACAGTTGAGCATCCTTCTGTGAGATGATGGGGCTTCTTACACAGAATAATGTTCATTAGTCATGTTTAATCAATCAAAGCGTTTCAATCTTCTGTTTATTCAGCTACAGCGATAGTATGATGCCGATAGGGATTTCCTGGAATGATGTGTGTTATTATACTTCTGCGGTGGGGCATATTTGGCTTGTCTGTGTGAGAGCGCCCTCTGGCGTTCAGATGGATCAGCATTTACTACCGATCAGCCGCACTGCTCTGACAAGCTGCGCATAAAATAATCGCAGCATTTGCCAAATCGCGCAGTAGCACCTCATTGCAGTACATGAGATCCAGGGGGTGGAGTTGGATCCAGATCTAATGGTTGGAGATGGGTAGGATTAGGAGTGGGGTTAGGGATCAGGGGGTGTAGATGGGTAGGATTAGGAGTGGGGTTAGGGATCAGGGGGTGTAGATGGGTAGGATTACGAGTGGGGTTAGGGATCAGGGGGTGGAGATGGGTAGGATTAGGAGTGGGGTTAGGGATCAGGGGGTGGAGATGGGTAGGATTAGGAGTGGGGTTAGGGATCAGGGGGTGGAGATGGGTAGGATTAGGGGTGGGGTTAGGGATCAGGGAGTGGAGATGGGTAGGTTTAGGTATATGTAATGTGCTCCAGATCCAACTCCTCCCCCTGGATTTCGTGTTCTGCAGTGAGGACCATCTCAAATCGCGTGCGGTTTCATTACGATTAATCGCCCTACTGTACACTAGACTTCATACCCAGTATTTTTATCTTGTTTTCCAGTACAAATATCTAAATGCCCGTTCACACCATGGACGATAACTATAATGATAAAGATATAGTTCTAAAAAAATATATAAATATAAAAGAATAGCAGAGTACACACCACAACTCTAATGATAACGGCACAGAGAAAAGATATAGTTTGGAATTACTATCAGATTGATTTTTTTTTTTAGCCGATGAATGATAACAATATCGAAAGCCAATCAGAGTCCATTCCACTTAAGAGAACTTTGGCATTTAAAGCGGCAGACGTCAAACCTGCAGCACGTCCTTGGAATAAAACAAGAATTATCATTTGTTGGTTTGGACTCTAATAAAGTTATCATTATGGTTGTATAATCGTTTTTGGTGTGAATGGGCCTTAAACATTCTTAAATCAAGATGCGTTTACTTAAGAAGCAAAATGACACCCAATGTTATTTTCTATATCAAATGTATCAAAATTAAGTGAGTTTTTACTTAAAACAAGAAAAAATATCTGCCAACAGGGTCAGAAAAATATTAATTGTTTTACCTTTTGAATAAAGTTGAATTTTCTGACATTGATATTTATACTGGAAAATAAGACAAAACCAGTGCAGTGTTTTTTGCAGTGTAGGGCTTTCTTTCTTCTATGGAACATAAACACAGATGTATCTTAGTGTTTTTGTCTGCATAATAAAGTCAGAGGGGCTCAATGTTGTTTTGGCGAGCCAGTCATACAGCTTTGGAACAAGTAACATGATGATGATTAAAAATGCTAGATTGTTTTTGTGTGTGTGCGTGTGTGTGTGTGTGTGTGTGTGTGTGTGTGTGTGTGTGTGTGTGTGTGTGTGTGTGTGTGTGTGTGTGAACTATCCATAAAGTAAAACGTTCCTTTGTAGTGGTGAAGAAGATTGCACTTCAATAACATTTGCAATGCATGCCAAGGGGCATACAAAATAACGTGCATTCCTTTCATTAGGAAGCTGCAGTACCTACAGAAGCTTTAGTGGAACCAGAGCCTGAGCAGCAGCAGCACACAGTCCCATTGGAGGAACCTACGGTATAAAACTACTTTTTATTAACTCCTTTTGTGGGATCATCTCAAGCATTTCTGGTCAGAATCCTTTTAGATTGAAGTTTAATTTTAAACATGGTCTTTTGCCCTCGGGTTTTCACATGCTGAAGCCTTCGGTCGAGTCCACTTGTGACCCCATCGCTGAAGAATTTGTTGTGAACGAGACAGTCGTAGCTGTTGCCACAACTTTTGCAGAGGAACAGGTGAGCAGTTGGACACACCTATAATGTGCACATCAGGCGTTAAATTCTATTACCTACTTGGATGGATCTAAATAGAAAATATGGCCTTTTCCCATAGATTCCTGAAACAACAATAGATGCCCCTGAGGTTCCATCAGAGACACTGGCAGAAACGATTCCTGCTCCTGAGCCTCTGCCTCTGCCTGTGCCTGTGCCTTTAGCAAAGGAGATTATACAAGTGAGCTTTTAACTTTTAAAACAGTTAACATGACTGCACACACAAAAACACATTCGATCAATTTAACGTGTCCTTGCTGAATAAAACGATACTCGGTTACTAACGTAACCTCGGTTCTCTCTAGAGAGGTTCTCTCGTATTGCGTAAGTTTAGCTTACGCTACAGGAAAGATTCATCTTCTCGAGATATTGAAGCCAAAAAATTATCCTTAATTTTGTATTCATTGTCAACGCAGTGCAGCAGCTAGCAGACCTAGAGCAGGCCATCTCGCGTGCTCATTGGCTGCCCTGCGGGCAACTGCTGCAGCCTACCAGTGAGCCCGGCGTGACGTCACGCCCAATGAAGGGCGCCCGCGCCTTCATAGCGTCACAGCCGGCCGGAATGGGCGTGGCTTAGCGTATAAAAGTAGGGGCTGTAGGCTGACTTCCCTGGTTTTTCGTCGACTGAAGCGAAGTCGCTCGTGGCGCGAGCACGGCCGGTTACGCAATACTCGTTCCCTCTCTAGAGAGAACCGAGGTTACGTTAGTAACCGAGTACGTTCTCTTACGAGAGGTCCTCTCGTATTGCGTAAGTTTAGCTTACGCTACGGGAACACTTTGTCAACGCCGTGCGTGCCAAGCATCCACCATGAGACCCCGAACTTTCAGGGGAACCCCATAAGTGGAAAAAATAAGGTGGCCAGCCACGCGGGCCATCACTTGTACATAAGCACACATAGGGAATACAGAGCAGCGCGCCGGTCTGTATAGGCACATGGCACATACCCTACTAGTGCGGCTCAACCAGGAGAGCTGAGTCACGTGAGAGTGATCTGAGCAGGAAGATCTGGGCAGAATACACATCTCCTTCAAACTGACAAAAGTTTAGCCCGCAAGGCAGGAACTTCTAGGTTATAAAACCTGACAAAGGTAGACGGTGAGCCCCAGCCCGCCGCCACACATATGTCATGGATAGAAATCCCACTGGACCACGCCCACGACGAGGCCACGCCTCTCGTGGAATGAGCCCTGATGCCCAGAGGGCATTGCATACCTCTTGACGCGTAAGCAGCTGCTATAGCGTCCACTATCCATCTGGACAGGCTCTGTTTCGAGGTGGCGAGACCCTTGGTGCGCCCACCAAACGAAACAAAAAGCTGTTCTGAACGCCTGAAGGAGGCGGAGCGCGTAATGTAAAATCTCAGCGCCCTGACAGGGCAGAGGAGATTCACATCACTTTCGCTGTCAGATGCTGGCAGAGCTGGCAGCGAAATAACTTGCGCTCTGAATGGAGTGCCCATCCCTTTAGGAGCATAGCCATGTCTAGGTCTGAGGATGACTTTAGAGTCATTCGGCCCGAACTCAAGACACGACAGGTCCCCCACACGTTTTACTGACGACAGTGCAGTCAGAAAGACGGTTTCAGTGATAGATATTTCAACCCCACGGAGTCTAGTGGTTCAAATAGAAAGGCTTTCAGGGCCTCGAGGACCAATGAAAGATCCCACATAGGAACCGACGGGGGGCGCGGCGGGTTCATCCTTCTAGCTCCTCTAAGGAAGCGGATGACCAACTCATGTCTTCCCAGTGACTGGCCGTGCGTCGATTCTGCGAACGCTGCCACGGCCGCCACGTATACTTTGAGCGTGGATGGGGACCTCCACTTATCCAACAGCTCTTGTAGGAAGGTGAGCAGATGCGCCACCCCGCATGTCCGTGGCTCCAGACCTCTGTCGGTGCACCATCCGGAGAACACCGACCATTTAGACGCGTAGAGCCTTCTCGTGGAAGGAGCTCTAGACTGCGTGATCGTATTCATTTCTCCTTCTGGCAGGGCAACGAGTACCCGTTGATCAACCATGCGTCCAGAGACCAGCGCTCTGGATGGGGATGCCAGATCGCGCCGCGAGCCTAAAAGAGGAGATCTGCCCTCATCGGAATCGGCCACGGAGCTGTATGTGACAGTCGTGCTAGTTCCGGGACCCAAATCTGATTCTCCCAACGCGGGGCTATGAGGAGCACCGAGTGGCGCGTTTCCCTGATTCTCTTGATCACCTGTGGTAACAGAGAGACCGGAGGGAAAGCATATAGCGGGAGGCTGGGCCAAACCTGGGCCAGCGCGTCCTCGTCCTTCGAGAAGAACGTCGGGCATTGAGTCTTGTCTTTTGACGCAAATAGGTCGACTTCCGCTCTGCCGAATAGGCGCCACAGTTTCTGAACCGTTTGGGGGTGCAGGGACCATTCCCCTGGGGGAACATTGTCCCTGGACAGTTTGTCTGGGCCGTCGTTCAAATGGCCAGGCACATGCGCCGCCCTCAGCGAGCGCAGGTGCATCTGAGACCAAATAAGGAGGCGTTCCATCAGATTGCAGAGATTTCTGGATCTGACACCGCCCTGACGGTTTACATAGGATACCACAGACATGTTGTCCGAGCGGACAAGAACATGTTGGTCCTGTATGAACGGGAGGAAGCGCTTCAGCGCGTTCTCAACCGCTATCATTTCCAGACAGTTTATGTGAAAACACTTTCTTTTGGTCTGACCACTGGCCGAAGACCAGTCTGCCCTCGAACAGCGCGAGTTGGACGCATCTGTCGAAATGACTTCCCAATAAGAGATGGTTCCCATCATCACTCCCTGCTGGGACCAGTCGGCTACTAACCAGGGCTGCAGAGCCGCTATGCAGGTCTGAGTCACTCTGATTTTCTGGCCGCCAGAAACCCAAGCTCGGCGGGACGCGCGAGCATTCAACCAGCGTTGGAGCGGGCGCCTGCGCAGTAGGCCCAGCTGAAGCACCGCTGCAGCTGATGCCATACACCCCAACATCCTTTGAAATGTTTTCAAAGGGAGAAAGCTCCCTTTCTGGAAAGATGCGGCTAGGTGCCGAACACGGCGTGCGCGCTGTGTCGATAAACGAGCCGTCATGGTCACCGAATCCAGTTCTATTCCTACAATGGAAATTGACTCGCTGGGCTGTAATGAGCTCTTGGTCCAGTTGACCGTGAGACCTAAGCTTTCCAGGTGACTGAGAAGCACTGTTCTATGAGATAGCAGTTCTGTCTCTGACTGTGCCAATATCAGCCAATCGTCCAGATAGTTCATTATTCGCAGCCCCTGACTTCTCAGGGGGGCGAGCGCCGCGTCCATGCACTTTGTAAATGTACGGGGTGCTAGAGACAGGCCGAACGGCAGGACGGTGTATTGATATACCTGACCGTCGAAGGCGAATCTAAAAAATTGCCTGTGACGGGGTATTATCTGAATCTGAAAATAGGCATCCTTCAGATCTAGAGAAATAAACCAGTTCCTCGGGCGAACGTGCGCGAGGATTTTCCTGGTCGTAAGCATTTTGAACGGTCTTTTCGCAAGCACTTTGTTCAAATGTCTCAGATCTAGGATAGGTCTGAAGGCTCCGTCCTTCTTGGGTACGAGAAAATATCGGCTGTAAAAGCCTGACTCGCTCAGAGAAGGCGGTACCTTTTCTATAGCCCCTTTGCACAGCAGCTTTGCTATTTCTGCGTGAAGTAGGTGTGCTACTTCTGCATTCACTATCGTCGCGATCCGGGCTTGAAAGCGCAGGGGATGGCGAATGAATTGAAGTGTATAGCCCTGCTTTATTGTGCTCAACTAATCCCTGGGATAGTTTCCCACGCAGCTATGTGAGCCGCCAGGGGGCGAATGGCCTCCGGGTTCAGATCGCCGCCATTTGCGGGCTTGTGAAATTGAACTGGAGCTGAAAGCGCGGCGCGCTCGCTCTCTGTTCTGGGCAATGGCTGCTCGCTGAAAGCCGAAACTTGCTGATTTATGTGAGATGTCCCAATCATAAGGGATGGGGAACATTTTCTTTTCACGGTTTGACTTTTCCAACATGTTCTCTGGGCGGAAAAGCTTCCTGTAAGCGTGAGTGCGTGTGTGCGGGCACGAGACTTACAAGTGTATTCGACACCCCGATCGTAATGGATGGGGAGCGTCTTATTAATGCCCTGCGTTTTGTGACAACACTTAACTGCGCGGGCGGCGCCTGGGGGGAGGTTTGTGTTAGTAAGCGTGAACGCTCTCTGGTGGGCACGAGACTTACATTCATAACCTGCTTTTTTGATCGTGTAACAGAGCGGGCAGATAGTGGGCACAGACCTGTGGACGCATTTCTTACATTCAACACTCGAGCGGCTTTTCTGCGCTATATGAGAGTGTGCTCTGTGAGTAACACGAGATTTTAAGTGCTTGTGTGTAGGGGTGAACACTGGGGCGTGGGCACCTTCACTACACTTAAAACACCGACGGTGTGAGCCGGACCAGACATTATACTCTTTTTGAGATTTCTCTGGGTCGCCGTGAAAACGGCGTTTGTGTGCAGGCGAGAGGGTGAACAAACCGGCTCGTTGGCTGCTAAATGAACCACTGCAGTAGCCTGTTTGAAGGGGAGTGACAGGGAAATGAACTTTGACGGCGGTCCGGCCGCAGCGGGACACGCGCGTCTTTTCGGAGGCGATGTGTCTGTTAGTAAGCGTGAGCGCTCGTGAGCGGGCACGTAACTTACATTCTTAACCTGACATGTATGAGGCTGTTCTGGCCGTGTGACAGAGCGGGCAAAAAAATAGGCGTGAGCACAGAGTTGTGGGCACGTTTCCTACATCTAGCACTCAAGCGGCATTTGCCAGCTTTATGAGAGTGGGCTCTGCGGGAGACACGGGGGGTATCGTGTTTGTGTGTAAGGGTGAACACCGAGATGTGGGCACCTTTTCTCGCTCAAGACACCAACGGCGTGAGCCGGATAACCAGACATTATACTCACTTGAGATTTCTCTGGGTCGCTGCAAGAACGGCGGGTGTGTGCAGGCAAGCGGGTTGCATTACTGGCTCGTGGCTGCCAAATACACCGCTGCAGTAGCCTTATCTAAGGGGACTGACAGGGTGAGACATTTCAACGGCGGCGCGCAAGCCCGTCCGGGTCATGCAGAGAGCTCGAGAGGGCTCTGCATGACGTGCGAACGGGGATGCGAGGGCGGGGTAGCTCTCTTGTAATGTAAAGAGAGCTAGCCGCGTACTCGTTGCCACGCATCCAGTACGTCGCGTATGTTGATGCCCGTCCGGGTCATGCAGAGAGCTCGAGAGGGCTCTGCATGACGCGCAAACGGCGACGGGAGGGCGGGGTAGCTCTCTTGTAACGTAAAGAGAGCTAGCCGCATGCTCGTTGGTCGAGCAGAACTGGGAACAATGTTTGTATGAGGGCGCGCGCACAAGTAGTGGGCACGGGACCTACATGTGACACAGATGATGCCCGTCCGGGTCATGCAGAGAGCTTGAGAGGGCTCTGCATGACGCGCGAACGGGGACACGCGGGCGGGGTAGCTCTCTTGTAACGTAAAGAGAGCTAGCCGCGTGCGCGTTGGTCGAGCAGAACTGTATAAAAATTTCTGCTCTTACCACGCATCCAGTACGTTGCGTATGTTGATGCCCGTCCGGGTCATGCAGAGAGCTCGAGAGGGCTCTGCATGACACGCGAACGGCGACGCGAGGGCGGGGTAGCTCTCTTGTAACGTAAAGAGAGCTAGCCGCGGTCTGATGCCAGGATGGAGCAGCAGTCTCTCGTGGCGTGTCCCTCTGCCTCATCCTCAGATGCGACGGCAGTGAGGCTCGTGAGCGGCAGCTGCGCATCGGTGAGGGGAGGCGGGGAAGGCGAAAGCGAGGCTCGAGGGAGGTTCTCCGGCGAGGACGTCACTGTGGCCACGGGTTCCGGCTGTCTCAGGGAACGGCACTTCTTCCTGCGCGGTCCCACAGAGGGCGGAGTGACTGCTTTGGGGTTGAGGGCTTCGAGTCGAGCCTGCAGGGTCGACAGCGGAAGCGCTTCACAGAGCTCGCAGCCCCCGGACGCGAGGGCGAGCTCTGCATGTTCCAGGCCCAGGCAGAGAGCGCAGATCATATGGCGGTCTCTGACGCTGAGCGGGGCCCTACACGAGCCGCAGGAAGTGCGAGGCATCTTTAAAAAGACACTCGCGCTCTTTTAGGAATAGGTTTTGCAAGGTAAAAGGATACGTCGCCGGATAGCGTAGCTCGCACGGAGGGCTGAAGGTGGCGAAGACGGCCGGCTTCCTCAGCGCTGTCCGAAGCTGGCTGTTCGCTGTTCGACGGCGGCGGTGGCTTCTCTCAGATCCAGCGATGCGAAGAGCTCGCTGAAGAGACGAAAAATCTGGAAAGTCAGCCCTACAGCCCCTACTTTTATACGCTAAGCCACGCCCATTCTGGCGGGCTGTGACGCTATGAAGGCGCGGGCGCCCTTCATTGGGCGTGACGTCACGCCGGGCTCACTGGTAGGCTGCAGCAGTTGCCCGCAGGGCAGCCAATGAGCACGCGAGATGGCCTGCCCTAGGTCTGCTAGCTGCTGCACTGCGTTGACAATGAATACAAAATTAAGGATACGTTTTTGGCTTCAATATCTCGAGAAGATGAATCTTTCCCGTAGCGTAAGCTAAACTTACACAATACGAGAGAACCTCTCGTAAGAGAACTATTAATTTCTTTAAAAAAAAAAATATATATATATATATATATATATATATATATATATTTACTGGCCCCAAACATTTGAATGGTAGTGTGCATAATTTGAGGATGAACATTTAAAAACAAGTTGAAGAAAAAAAGACCTGAATGTTAGGGGAGAGAATTTTCCAAATGAGCTCCAGTTCCTCGAATGCAATCACTCTAAATTGCTGATAAACCTAATTTGAAGCTTTTTGTATTTTAGTGTTTTCTGACTATAAAATTCAATATATATACATTTCAGGCTCAAGATGAATTTATGGCACATGTAGAAACGGAAACCATAAAGGTATTCCTCCCTTAGTATTTATTTATTTTATTTATATATTTTTGTTGTTTAAAATAGAATGTTGTATAATATTGTTACACCAATAAATAGTATTTGTTTTAGTTAATGTTGTTTCTAATTTACATAGGACTTGGCAGTGACTGGTAGCCTAACTGTGGATGCCATCAATGGATGTCTGGGAGCTACTGAAGTTGCAATTGAAGGTTAAACTATCCATGGTGAGGATGAGAAGCTCTTAAATAATTTGAATCAATTTACAATTTACAATTTGTTCATGAGCCAAGGGAACAATAAAACATCTGTTGTCTTTGTTTTACAGTTGGCTGAAACATTGCAAAGTGCCTTAATGTGCTGATGGTCATCTAACATATGACAAGGATGTGTGGCTGTTCTTCGCTGGTGGAGTTTTTCCGGGCTTCTAATATTCTTCAGTTTCCATATGCATGTACAGTAGATTTGCAGGTGTTAACATCGCATACTTAGTAAAGTAAAATGAAGGGGTGTTTCAAATTTCTGTTTTTACTTGGATAATTTTGTAATGGGGAATGAATACTAGTTGTATTTGTTTCATTTTGATAAAGCAATTTGGAATGGAGTGCTTCCTCAATAGAGGAATTTCATACTATAGCCTACCATCACCACATCTTCTGTGCCCCCTCAACCATTCACATGTGCCTTTCTCCAAATGTCAAATAAAGGGAGTTTGAAAACGTTTCGTCTCCCCCCAAAATTGTTGTATGCATTTAGTATGGAAATAGAGATTAAATATGTCATGCACCAATTGAAACATATGGGATGCAAAATCAACATTTTCGCACTAGAACACTTGTTTTTCAGCGGGAATGCAACGTAATGACGAACGCAGTTGCCCAGCTGTTTGTTTGAACCGCGAGAGGCGTCAATTGCCGTCATTACGTTGTGCATCAAGTTCAAGGGTTACTCTTTTCAGTATTTTGGCGTAAATCGATGCGTAGGCAGAGAATGTCTGGCGTAGGCCTACGGCCGTCTGCCGGAAGCTAGTTATTTTAGTTGATAAAGTTTAAAATATGAATCTTTTTTTCTTACACGAACGCATCGCTTCACTTCAGAAGACCTTTATTAACCCCCGCAGAACCGTGTCGAGCACTTTAATCATCAATAGATACGCTTTAATGGACTTCCAAAGTCATACAGCCATTCACTCCCATTATCAAGCTTTATATAACTTCGATTGTATTCGTCTGAAAGAAGAATGTCATAGACACTAGGATGGCTTCAGTGTGAGTAAATCATGGGCTAATTTTCATTTTTGGGTGAACTATCCCTTTAAGTGCATGGTTTAGAGGCGCACATGTTTCTGTATTCTTCGAACGCTGAGGACATCTGCTGGTCAAACACGTAAGTTACAAAAAGAAAGAGTTCATCGAGATATATCCAATCTCCGAGATATATCCAGCTGCAGACCCGCAGCACCACCAGTTTCAGAACCCCAGTGCCAGAACCCCAGCGCCAGAACCGGAAGTGAGGGAGGGGCGGAATTATTTACAATAACACAAGCATGGTTATTTTTGCAAGTATTTAAAAATATTTAAAATTGTTGCACCTTTTAAATAATATTTAGGGTATGTTTTTACTACACAGTGAGTCACTGCTCGTTGTATGAACTATAACTGGTATGTGACAAATAAAGAGCAAGTGTTGTTTGAAGACGTGAGAGTGCGCGCGCGCGGCCAGGGCTCTCTCTCTCTCTGCTCTGCCCTGTCATGCGCAGCAGTTATTCTATTCTACATCACTCACCGATCAAAATAGGCTTTGGCGGGACAAAAATTTGCTTTGGCGGCCGCCAAAAAGCAGACGATCTGACGGGTTTTAGAAGATTTAATACAACCTGAAACTAAAAAACAGACCCGACCTCTATTTGAGACCGGACTTATATTTACCCAAACCTGCAGCCACACCAGGCGTGTAAAAGAGACAATCGTCTATTTGGGACTTGGCTATTATTTGAAGTAATCCCAGCAAACACGTGTATGTGGGGCCCACATGGGTTACACATGGGCTACGTGGGTACAGAGTGGGCATGGGCTCAAAATGGGCATCTTATCTGGGGCACACTTGGGTCAACTAAGTAGGTCCAACATGGGCAAACCCAGGTGGGCTCCCCATATGGGACCTAGTTGGTTCACTAATGGGAAATTGAGTACATGGGTTGAAAATGGGCTACAAGGGGACTAATTCAGTTTACCAAGACAAGTGCAAAAAGTCAATTCCAAAGATTGATTACACTGCACCTTTGAAAAAGAAAGTATTGTTATTTTGACACTTTAACATGTGACTTTAATCTATTAAAAATCTATAAATGCCAACACAATTGCAATTGTACCCAATTTTTGCAAATTAAAAGGACCAAGAAACTTCGGATACAGAGAAAAAAAGAAAAGAAAAAAAAAGACTTGAAAGTTTACAAATCTTTGGCAGGATGGATCTCGCGAGATTTCATTCAGCAATTCCCATCCCCCACTCCACGCCCTGAACCGCGCGGGCGCCATTGCACTCTCACTCATTCTGCTGTAATTTTCGGGAGGAGAGATTCTTGCTGTATTCAAGGTAAGAACTACAATCTTTTAAAAACTGAAATGTTAATTAAAATACATTGTTTTCAAAACATAATGTTAACCAAAAGCTTATTGTCACGTTAGAATTTCAGTTAGAATTTCGAGTTCCCTCAGATCGCGCCATTTTCCCTTATTTCTGGCGCTCTGCACGCTATTATAGCAAGTAATATTCTTAGTTTCTTATAATTGTTAAAGGTCAACTCTCCCAAAAAATGCAACCTAGGGCCTTTTTGTGAATCCACCCGAGGCAAACCTTTGTTTAAAAGCATAATTATGATGGAAACGCCAGTATTAAGATTGACCGTATTTTAGCTGTTGTTGTTTCCGGCCGCCGGTTTCTTGTCAGTCAAAAATAGTCGAAAAAATACTAGCAGCTATTTGAACTGTGTATTATAACAAGTTGATTGGAGTTGAGACTCCAGCATAAAAATTGTACCACTGTTTTACAATATAAATCCCACAATGGCAGCAGTTTCTTAATTTTTATAAGATGTGCACATTAAACACCCAAAATGAAAGCAGGACTAATTAATATTTCGAATTGAATTAACGTTACCCGACAAGCCTGTTTAATCTGTCTGCTACCGTCTATATTGTGATCACAGAACAGCGTCATACAGCGACCATTTTAGCTTTTAATCTAAAAGTGTGCACATTCAATAAAATATTTAGGCTACATTCTTGATGTTTAATTTTAAATAAATCTTTAATAAATGTCTATTTTGTCACAGAACAACTAGTTTTCACTGAATTATGATATCTGAGAAGCTTTAACACCATCTCGGCAACCCTTTGGATTCCTGTGCTATTTTTTCCTTTCTTTATTTAGTGCTAATTCAAAAACAACTGCACAAAAGATACCCAATATAGTTACACTTTAGAATACTGTTTCAAATAATTAGTAATTCCTTTTGATGGATTTGGTAACACACATGTACAGTATTTTAAACGTTTACAGGGGTAAGTCGTGATTTTATTGCCTTCTGAATCCATAATGTCAGTGTATTGTATTGTATGTATTGTGTATCTATCTAGTGTATGACTCGATACACAATACACACAATAGATTACTACTTCTGATGTAAAATAGCCATCGATTAACCAATGGCTGCACGATTTGGGAGGAAATGTAATTGTGATTATTCAGGTAAAAATTTTTGTGTTGTCTCCCCCATAATGATAATCTTGTTTTTCCTTAGGTTGGCATGGTGGACTCACTCTCGCTGTTATCCAAGGTAAATTATCAACACTATCACCCCTTAAATGTGTTTTATTTAACTAAATACATCATAATCAGCTAAAAAGCATGCGCAGGTCACTTTACTTCCTGAACAAGTGCGTAGCCGAGTCCGTGTTGCTTTCACATTCACGCGAACCGCAGCACGGATCAAGTGCAACCGAACTCAGAGCGCCTCCTCCAGGCAGTCTCGGGTTCGGTACCCCAGTGCGCACCCGGGTCCGCATGACAGCGTTCACATTAGCGATTTTTCATGCAAACAGTGCTCCGTTCCGAACTAAACTGCCAGTGTGAAAGCACCCTAGACTTTTCAAGTAAGCCAACTGAAGTAGCCTACTGTACACGTTAGCGCCTATTTGTTTACGCTAGGAATTCGCAGGCTAAGTGACTGAGGGTGCTTTCACACTGGCAGTTTAGTTCGGTAACTAACTAACATTAGCCCAGTGCATAACAACAATCGTTGATTGCTGAACAGAAATCGTGTCAGATGTGGAGTGAAAAATGTCAAGGTGGAGATAACTGCTTTGCTGCAAGGGCTCAAATATGGAATTTAATCTCACTCTAATGCTCTTTTATATATTTTTCAGGAGGCTTGAAAAAAAATGCCCTTACAAACCAAATTGCCAGAAGAGACGCAGAAAGGGCAGTGTCAAAGTGGCTAATCGGTGCCAGGGACAGGGGAAGAAAGCGTACTGCGAGGGCACATGGTGGAGAGCAAGATGGGTAAAAGTCTTAAGATATGCTTGTTTTTATATGGAAATACAAACTGTAAAAAGACAAGAATGATTGTAGCCAAAAGATATTGAATCAGGGGTTTTCAAACTTGTCCTGGGAACCCTCAGCACTGCACACCCACTTCAGATCTAGCAGTTTCTACAAATGAGCTAATGTGATGAATCAGGTGTATTAGATGTGGGAGACATACAAAGTCTGCATCCGAAAACTTAGGCAGCTGACTCATTGCCTCGCTGCCTTATCAGGCAATGTCTTAGCAGGCAGGGTTTACACACTAAGGTGCCTCACAAAACTGATTTCAGACAGACTTATGAGGCAGCATAATGGTTTAACAACAAAGTAAACATTTAATGACTTGAATATTGAAATGACTTCAAAAGAGGTAAAAATGGGTCAAAATGTACATTTTGTGCATTCAATATGTGCAGATGGTGTTCCAGGACAGGTTTGCAAACCCCCTTATCTTGATAAACTTGATGTGGGGCACCAAAAGGCTAACCTGACACATCTGTTTGAACTGTGAAAAGGAATTAAAAAAAGTGGCATAATGGTTGATTCATTCATTTATTTTCTCTTTTCAAAGGACCGTTGGGAGAGCGACGACAGAGGAGTGAGAAGCTGTTTTGGAAATTGTCAGGAGCTTTAACTTTTTTTTA